TTATATATATACGTATATATATATATATATATATATATAATATACACATTCTGTGGCCTGGGAGATAATACATGGGTTAAGGAGCATGCCTTGCATGCATCTAACTCTAATTTGATTTCTGGCATCTCTGGAAGTAACACCCCAAGCCCCTCAGAAAGCTCTCTGAGTCAAGAGCCAGAAGTAGTCCCCCAAGCACCTCTGAGTGTGACCCAAAACAAGTATATAAAGTCCTTGAAAATAATTCTATAATGCTCCCAAATAATTCAATATTACATATTCATGGGTATTTAAAAAAATTAAGTTTTGGGGGCTAGAGAGAGAGCACAGAGGGTAGGGCGTTTGCCTTGTACGCAGCTGACCTGGGTTCGATTCCCAGCATCCCATATGGTCCCCTGAGCACCGCCAAGAGTAATTCCTGAGTGCAGAGCCAGGAGTAACCCCTGTGCATCGCTAGGTGTGACCTTCCCCCCAAAAAAGCAAAAAACATTTAAGTTTTTAAAAATTCCCTTTCCTTTAGTTGTTTCAATAACCAGGGCTGGTACTCTTGCTTGGCTGTGGGTTCCATGGGGTTGCACTTCCTCACAGTGGACCTTGCATGTGTTCTTTGATTATGGAGCTCTCCAGGAAGGGAGACCCTTTAGTTGCAGTGCTCGAACACACCTGTCTGTGGTGTAACCAGAAATTACCTGTGGCTCCAGGGATCTCTGGCAGCAGAGTCATCAGGAGCTAGGACTGTGCTTGATGCATGTGGTCATACCAGAGATTAAACAACACTCAGCTTGCTTGCTTTTCTTTCTTTCTTGCTTGCTTGCTTTTTTGCTTGCTTTTGTTTTCCTTCCTTCCTTCCTTCCTTCCTTCCTTCCTTCCTTCCTTTTTTCTTTTTGAGTCATACCTGGTGATGTTCAGAGTTGATTCCTGGCTCTGCACTCAGTAATGATCCCTGGAGGTGTTTGGGGGACCGTATGAGGTGATGATAGAACCCAGGTCAGCTGCATGCAAGGCAAATGTCCTACCCGCTGTATTATCACTCTGACCCCAGTGACTGCTCAGCCTTAAGCCTGTGAGGTTGGTGCTCTAAAGCACTGAACAATCCCCCAGGCCTGGGCATAATTTTAAGGGGAATAGTAAATTCTGTGTTCTTTCAATATAAAAAAAACTGAAATAGTGAAGTAAAATTGACAAAATTATCATTGGTTTGGTAATGATATACCTACTTTAATATATATATAGTTATTTTTATTATATGTACATGAGCATTTAGGATATTTCTTTTTCTTGAATGGACAATATCCTTTATTGCAAAAATACTTAAATACATTCTCTGCAAACATTTCCATAGTGACTGTGAAGTAACGAGAAAGCACTTATCAATTATTCCTTTCAGCAGAAGTATAGGTGAGAGATAGAGTAGCAAAGTCAGTGCCATGAGAAGCTCATAAAGAAGCCGGTAGAAAAGAAGCTAGGCCGAGGTTTCAGTTCCATATTTCCTGGAATTGAGCACAGATACCTGGAATTGAGTCATGATTTCCCCCGAAGAGAAATAGCCATGGTGAGGTCAAGTACGGGTTACCAATCAGATGCAGGTAGGGAAGCCCATCCATATAACCCTTATGCAACTCTTATGCAACCCTTATGTAACTCCAGCTTATAACCAATCAGCTAAATACAAGTAGTGGAAAGCCCCTCAGACTTTGGCCAAAGGGCTGGTCTGTGGAAAGTACCTGTAATACAATGTTATGGTATATAAAAGCCCCTCACTTTTAAGACTCGGGTCTGCTCATTCCAAGAAGGCTGCACTGTGTTGGTGAGCCGGGCAAGGACCCTAGCTCAAGCTAGCTGAGCTATCCAATAAAGACCCTTTGCTTATTGCACTGCAACTTGTCTTTGTGTGATTTCTCTGGGAAGATCTCAGCCCTGTAGAAACGCCAAGACTTAACATTTAACATAGGAAAAGTAGGATTGAAACTCATCAGAGTTCAGCTACCAAGCAATTCCACACAATCAGTCTGTTGCAGAATCATGAATGGGACCCAGAATTTTCTTGTCTAAAAATGCTGTAGAGGGGGGGTGGAGAGATAGTATAGCTAGGTAGGGAGCTTGCTTTGCATGCAGCCAACCTGGGTTCAATCCCTGGCACCCCAAATGGTCCCCTGAGCCAGGAATGATCCCTGAGCCAGAGAGCCAAGAGCAATCCCTAAGCACAGCTGGGTATGGCTCTAAACCAAAATAAAATTAAAATCCTATAGATATGTATGTGTAAGAGAAAGGGGGATATATGTTGAATTATATAGCTCAGCTCATTTTATTTATCTATTTGTTTTTCTGTGGGTTTTTAAAAAATCTTTTTGGGTCATACCCATTGATGCTCAGGGGTTACCCAGGGGACCATATAGGATTACCAGGGATTAAACCCGGGTCGGATGCATGCACGGCAAGTGCCCTTATCGCTCTGACCTCAGTTCAGCTCATTTTATACAAGAAAGCAACGGTAAATGCTTAACTTTTCAGAACTCAGCTAGGACAATTGCTCTCCAGCTTTGGTCTAGTCCAATAAGTGCCTTGTCCTCCCAGAATGCCAACTTCAGCTCATGTTCTTAGCTGCTAATTCTTTGTTCGAGTCTCAGATGTGGGAACTGCTTTTGTTCCAGAGATGGAACGATATTGCATATTTCTTCCTTGTATTCTCTGCCCCAACTCCCCAGGGTAGCTTGAGGGTTAAAATGTTACCAGTATGGTAGGAGAGATAGCCCATCAGGTAAGGTGCACATTGCTCACCCTCGTTCAATCCCCAACACCCCAGATGTTCTCCCAAACCCTGCCAGGAGTGATTGCTGAGCACAGAACCAGAAGTAAGCCCTGAACACCCTCCAGTATCAGTGACTCCACCAAAAATTAATAATGTTTCCAGGTAGATCCAGTATGAAGATGTCTGTCATTTTCCTGTCTCACTTAATTTTACACTTGATAGTGTATTAACTGTTTGGGGAAGAATTTCTTTGCCAGCTCTTTGAAAGAAGCACATGCAAACCATGTATCCTCTCTGATTCTCCCCCCACTGGGCCTCATTGTTCCCTTGAAGCAGGTGTGCTTGCTGTGGGGCCTGCAGGCATTTCTGCAGGAGCACATGATGCGGAGGTGTCACCCTCTGCACTCAATGTGGTGGGAGTCCGCGAATCAGCTCACGCCCTGTGTCCACCATGCAGTGCAGCCATATTTATTTATTTTTGGTTTTGGGGCCACAGCCAGAGGTGCTCAAGGCTTACTCTTGGCTCTGTGTTCAGGGATCACTCCTGGCAGCACTCAGGCAGTGCTAGGATAGAACCCCCCCAGTGGCCATGCTCAAGGCAAGCACCTTAATCTTCTTCTGCCCTGTTTTTCGTACTTTTTTTAAGGTTGTTGTGAGGACCACCCGCCTAGTGGTGCTGATACTTGCCCAACAGAAAGTAGAACTGAATTCAATTTTCTAAACCAGGAACCTCTCGGAGCAAGGATGACAGAAAATATCTAGATTGCCTCTCTTTTATATTTCCATAAGTATTCAGAAAACTTAATCAGAAATTTTTTTTAACCTGGGTTACACTCAGTGGTGCTCAGGGATCACTCCTGGTGATGATTGGGAACCATGTGTGTTACTGGGATGGAACCAGGACTGGCCGTGCTCAAGGAAAGCACCTTATCCGCTGTCTTAACAGATAAGATGGGGCGCACCTCAGGGGACCGGCCCCAGGGGGAATTATTTTTGTTTGTTTTCTGTTTGGGGGGCACACCTGGCGATGCTCAGGGTTTATTCGTGGCTCTGCACTCAGGGATCACTCTGGGGATAGGAGTGGGAGTGGGGAAGTGCTAAGGATGGAACCTGTGCAAGGCAAACGCCCTAGCCACGAACTCTCTCTCCACACTCCTAGTGTGTGTGTGTGTGCGTGCGCGTGTGTGCGCGCATGTGAGATTTATTGATTATTCTGACACACTTACAAGTGTGCTTCAACACACTCTTAAGTGCTTTCCAAGCTCTTTTTTTACAAAAGGGAAAGGTGTATGTGTGTGTGTGTGTGTGTGTGTGTGTGTGTGATTTATTATTCTGACACTCACCAATCCGCTGCCACATACCCTTCTCTAAGTGTTTTCCAAACTCTTTTGCTACGAAAGGGAAAGGAGTGTGTGTGTGATTTACTGATTACAGTGACACCAGTCTGCTGCCAACACACTCTTCCTTAAGTGTACTTTTCATTCTCTTTTCCTCCAAAAGGGAAAGGGGTGTGTGTGTGTGTGTGTGTGTGTGTGTGTGTGTGCGTGTGTGTGTGTGTTTGCGTGAGATGTATTGATTATTCTGACAGTCACCAGTCTGCTGCAACACTCTCTTTAGTAAGTGTGCTTTCCGAGCTCTTTTCCTACAAAGAACAAACAAAATTCCGTTTCTCGAGAGGGCCAGCGGGTTCCCTAGGCTGGAACTTGTCCTGCAAATGAACCTCTTTATCCGGGACCGGGCTCTGTGCAGCCGCGGGGCAGGTGTGCGGGGCAGGTGTGCGGGGCAGGTGTGCGGGGCAGGTGCCCTCAAGCTGAGCCCCGGGCACTGCACGGGGGAAAGGGAATCGTTGCACAAAGCCCAGGACTCACTCGATCCCCGGGGCTGGCCCGCGTCTCTTCCCACCGCGACCGGCTCTGCGCACCGGCGCAGTTTCCGGGGGGGTCTGGGCGGGACCCCACTTCCGAGCGCCCGAGAGCTGGGCCGGTCCGTCACGGGTCCCCCCACCACCACCACCACCCCCGTCCCGCGGCGCCGCGGCCGCCACCCGAAGGGACCGAGCGCCTGCCACGTCAGGGCGACTTCACAGGCGCCGGGCGAGGGCGGGTGACGCAGGCCCCGCGGCCTCCCGGCCTCCCCGCCCCCGCCCGCTCGCCCTCCGCGCGCGCCCGCCCGCCGGAGCCACGCCGCGGCCGGCGCCGGCGCCTGCCCGGCCCTCAGGGAGGCGGCGCCTGAGCCGAGCCCGCGCCTCTCCTCAGCCTCGGCGGCCCGTGGGCGCTCGGGGCCGCGGCTGGGCGCGCTGCGCGGACGCTCTCCGGGGGTGGGAACCAGCCGAGGCGGCGCCGAGAGCCGGCGGGCGGGGGCCGCGGGGCCGGAGCCAGCGACATGGAGACCCGCTACAATCTGAAGAGCCCGGGTGAGAGCGGGCGAGGGAGGGAGACGGCGAGGGACGGAGCGAGAGAGACGGAGAGAGCCCTAGAGCGAGCGCCCGGGGCGGCGGTGGGGTGTGTGTGTGCGTGTGTGTGTGTGTGTTGGGGGGGGAATCTGGACGGCGGGACTCGCGGACTCGGGCATCCGGCTCGCCGGCTCCGTGGCGGCCGCCCGCACTCGAGGCGCCCCCGGCCGGCGTGGCGCTCTACGCGAGCCCGCCGCCTGGCCCGGGCGGTGCAGGCCGCAAGGCAGGGCAGGGCAGGGCAGGGCAGAACGCCGGCTCGTGCGGGTCCCGACCACGGCCACCACGGCGCCCCGCCGGGCTCGCCGCTCCCCCTCCCGGGGCCGAGACGCCGCCGCCGCCGCTGACGGGACCCCGGCCGCCTCCCGAGCGCCGTCGTTGGGCCGCGGCCCCGGCTCCCGGGGGTGGGGGTGGGGGTGCTGTTCGTTGTCGGTCGGGAGCTCCCGTTGGTGGGGGGGGGGCGGGGGTCCCCGACGGGCTCGCCTGCCCCGCCACGGAAGTGGTGGAGTCCCCTCTTTCCCCCAGAGCCGCGTCCTGCTTTTCGGGCCTCTTTTTTCCTCTTTTTTTTTTTTTTTAAACCTGACATCCTCAGCCCTTGCTGGGGCTCCTGCGGGTCGGGGCCGCGTCGGGGACCCCACCCGCCCGGGTTCGAGCAGCTGCGAGTAAAGCCGCTGGGCCGGGAAGGTCGGAAGCGCCCCGCAGTTTGAGCCCCGGGTCAGCACCGGACGCGGGTCCGCGATGGACCCGGCTCTTGCTGCTACCTCCCCGCTTCATTTTCTCCCCCTCTTTTATTCTGCTTTGTTTCTCTCCCGTCCCCCCCACATACACACACACACACACACACACACTCACACTCACACTCACACACACTCACACTCACACACACACTTCTTTTTAAAAGCAGCCCTTTCGGTTCCTATGCACAGAGTTGACTCTTGGAGCTGTGTCCCCTTCATTCTAATTTTACATTTTTGTCCCGCCGCTAATTGCACCCCGAGATCTCTTGACGTGCGAGTGCTCTGTCAGGGGCCCACGACCTGGGTGGAGGTTCCCGGGTCCTTTTTCACCCATGAAACTCTGCAAGGAAACCCGAGGACATTGATCGAACTTGAGTTTTGTGTACTTGAGTGCTGTCAGCCTAAGACGTGTGCGTGTGCTTGGGTGAGCGACCGTGAAAACCTACCTGGGGGGTGGGGGTGGGGTAGGAAAGACTGGTGGGAGGCTATGGAATCATATTGATTCAAGTGCGTTTTGATGGGTTTACTTCCACCACCCCACTGCCCCAAGCGAGACCCTTTCAAGAGTGGAGGGACACTGAGACAAAGAGAAGAGGAAGAGGACCGTAAAGTTTAAAAAAAAAAAAAAGAAAGAAAATTGGGGTCACACCCAGGGGTGCTCAGGACTTATCCCTTGCTGTGTGCTCAGGGATAACTCCTGGTGGGGCTTGGGCGGCAATATGGGATGCTGGAGATCGCGGAAGGCAAGTGCCCTCCCTGCTAGACTATTTATTGGTTTAGGACCTCTTATTTATTGTTTTAGAAAAGTTTTTGATTTTTGAGGTCACTCCTGACTGTGCTCAGGGGTCATTCCTGGCAGGACTTCGGGGACCATACAGAGGTGCTGAGGGTCAAGCCCAGTTGGCCACATGCAAGGCAAATGCCATCCTACCTGCTGTTCAACCCAAAATAAGTTTTTGGTTTTTTTTTTTTAAACAAAGAAACCATGTCCTCCCCTCTCCTTTATTGCTGCTGTTTGTTGTGATGACTCAGGGTGGTCTCTGCTTGCATGTGATGCTCCCCTGGGGTGTCACACTGAGTGGTAGTGTCTGCATGCACCTTCACCGTAGTGGAGCATCAGAGATCACACACTGTTGTTTGAGGGGGTCTCCGTGTAGAGTTGAGCTGCTGGGGCCTGACTCCGCAGCAAAGGGTCAGACTCATGGCCTCATACTTGCAAAGCAGGCACTATTGGTGCCAGGCCATTCCCTGATTCCTAAGGATCCCTTCATTTTTGCGGTCATTTGGTACAGTGGTTAAACTGTTCAGGTTGTGGCATACTTACTTAAAACTCTGTCAGGAATGGGGAGATGGCTCCAAGGGATGGGGGCCCTGAGTTTATTCTCAGCATTACAAAGCCCTCAGATCCTGACTGTGTATAGCCCTAGAGGGCCCTGATGGCCCCCCAGCACTGCTGAGGGGGGGGGGAACCAACAAGTGAATTATGGGCTAATTTCTTGCTCAAGTTCCTGAGGCAGTGAGATTGTGGAATGTCTAGGGAATAATGCACATGAGAGAGTGCAGTTGGAGTGTAGAGCCCCAGGAGATTGTGTTGTCAGAGGACACTGTGCAATTTTGATCGGTTATTGTAACTGAGACTATGATAAGCTTTCCAACTTTTCTGGAATCTTGTACATTTCCAGAGTGTCACACCTGCTGTCAGCTGACTGTTTTGACTCCTATGCTTCCAGCTGTGTAGTGAAACTGCCACTTCTTTGTAGTTTCATTTCCTCACAGGTGGTGTTTTTGTCCTAAAAGAGGCAATGTGTGGGTGGGGTTGGGGGACAACCCACCAAAAAAAAAATACCTTTTGTTATTGTGTAGATTATTTGGAGTTCGCAGAGAAAGTGAATTAGAGCCCTGTGACTGAGAATGCCATGAGATGGGTGAAAATGCTTCTTAGTCCTGTGCTATTTTTAGAGTAATATATATGTGCTTAAAACGACGGTGCCAGGTAAGAGCTTCAACACCCCTTCCTCATGCACATACATGTACTTGTCCACATGTACACATTTTTACATGGATTCTGGTACACACAGACACACACACGTATATCCGGGCAGTCATTATTGCCACCAGATGAATTAAAATAAAACTAGGGCCCGAGAAATAATACTTTGCTGTGGGAGGCCTAACTGCATTGTTCCCTCAGGCACCACCAGAAGTGACCTTTCCCCCAACCCCCACCCTGGCACAGTGCCCTGGAACACCGCCATAAGTGGTCCCAAACCTAAAAATAAATCGAAAAGAACACTAAATGAAAATTGAAGTCATCTCAGAAATTGAAATTTTTTTTCAGTTGCTTCCAGATAGCTGTGAATAAAAGTTCAAAGTAAACTGCCTAGATTGTCCTATAGGTCTCCTCATGAGTTGGTCATTGCCTTTCCCACCAGCCTCCTCTTGCTACTCTTGTTATTTTGCAGTTTTCCATTTACCCTTTCACCTGAGTACAGAGAAATTATCTCCTTTTACCTATAACACTTGCCCCTGTTAGAACATGTGTTTGGAAGGCTCTCCATTTTTTGGTGTTTTGTTTTAGGGCCACACCTACCTGTGCTCAGGGCTTATTTCTGTCTCTACTCAGCATTCCTGGCGAGGCTCGGGGGACCATTTGAGGTTCTGGAGATTGAACCTTAGTCAGCTCTGTGCAAGGCAAACTCCCTATCTATTGTACTACCTCTTGAGCCTCATGCTTTTCCTTTAATCCTCCCAAAAATTCCTCATCTTTCAAGTTCCTTGCACAGCTACCAAAGGCAGATTATGTTAGTTCCTACTATTTGCCTGTACTTGGTCAATATTTGTCTTGTAATTTTTTTTTGGAGGGAGATTTGGGCCACTCCCTGTGGTACTTGGGGGTTGATCCCAGCAGAAGTAGGGATGAAATTGGAGTTGGTCGCATTCAGGGCCAGTTCCTTAGCCCCTATGATATCTCTCTGCCCTATAGTTGTTTTGGGTCTTCCTTACTGAAAGCTATTTGAAGAACAATGGAGCATGTCTGTCATTTTTTTTTGTGCTGTTACTCATTCTTTAAATGGATATTGCTAGAGCCAAGTATATGGGTGGCTTAAAAGACTGGAGAGCATGCTTTGCATATGAGAACTGTGGGTTTGAGCCCCAGCATTGCATGGTACCTTGAGCTCTGCCAGGTGTAGCCCTCTCATCCCCCAAATAATAAATAAGCAGATACTGTTAATGACCTTTGTGGGGTCTTTCTGGGCAGAAACACTGACCTTTAAATATTTACCTGACTTCCTTTACTTATGGGAACATTAAGAGGCAGTTTTGTTTAGCTTGAAGTTGTGTTTATGTCAATATACCCACCTCTCCTCCAAAACCCATATTTTGCTGATCTGTGATGCAAGATATTTGCTTTCCAAAAGTAATAGATGAACGAGAGAAAACGACCTTTAAAAAGATTTCTATAGGTGAAGTTTTGTTTCCAAACCATGATATAAGCTAGTGTGGCCAGTGACCTAGCTTACCTTGGCCATGTGAAAAATGTGAATGCCTAGGCCCACGGAGTCTAGACCTTGTTTCAAGAGTGGTCAATTGGGCTTGAGAAAAATGGAGAATAGGCAGGCAGGTACTTTTCCATCCCCCTCCTGTCCCTGGTACATTTTATCTCACAGGCTAGGAGAGTTCCATTGAATACCCTTGCAAAGAGATAAGGGGCAGAAGTGGAAAAACTTCTCCCTAGCCATATGGTATTGAGAAATGGTGTCTCACAAGGAGCAGATTGTGCTCTAGCCCTGATTGTCAGGCAGGAAATTGAAACTTGACTGAGGGTGTCATGTCTGAAGCCAACTACTTATATGGGTTTGAACCTAGGAGAATCATTGAGAGAGCCTTATCTTTCAGTCTGTTTCTCATCTTATGAGAGAGGAATAAAAAGGAAAGAAAAAATATGTGAAGAAAAATATAGTTTTTTTTTAGTCACACCCATCAATTCTCAGGGATCACTCCTGGCAGTATTTGGGGTTTCAGATTGAAGTAGGTCAACCATATGCAAGGCAAAAGCCTTAACCCCAGCTCTCTCTCTCTGGTTCCTCTATGTGAAGAAATTGACTTCCACTTGACAGATATAAACATTAGGGTAGAATAAAATTAAGTGACTTGTTCAAGGATTTAGAATTCAATTCAGATTTTGGGGAGGAGGAGGTAGTGGGGGTTGAGCCATACTCTTTGGTGCTTGGGGACTATTGACTCTGGGCTCAGGAAGTGGCCCTTGGCATTGGTCAGAAGACCATATGTAATGCAGGCGGTTTGAACCAAGGTCATTGTGTGTATTTTCTATCAAATTGAGCTGATTGCTGAGTGAGGTAAAGGCAGACAAAATACAGTAAGATTATAAAGTGACTTAAAAACTGGCCTCTACAGCTTAATTCAGTTAGCTGATAAGGAATAAAAGCACAGCAATCCCTTGGCATCTTTGTCTGCTGATAGAAGCAGAGTAATTGACCTCTCTGAATTTACTTCTATCTTGTACTATTGATTATAAACAAGTGCTATCTGTGTGTATTTATATGTATATACATATGATGGGGGGGGGAATTTAGAGCGTGCCTAGCAGTGTTCAGGGTGAACAATGCTGGCAGTGTTCTCGCTCCATGCATGGGGGACCATGAGGTTTCTGGGATTGAACCCAGACCTACATGCCATCATGTTCTGTGTCCTTTGAGCCATCTCCCTGGTCCAAGAGTGATCTTGTTTTTGTTTTGTTTTTGAGGGCTGTTTCCGTCTTAGTGTTTCAGGGAGAACTGTGCAGAAAGATTGAACTTGGGCCTCCTGCATGCAGCGCATGTGGTCCAGTCTGCTGCTCTTGCTCTCTCTGGACCCCACAGAGTTTTGCCCGGGCCCCTTAGAGTTGGTAGAAGAGGAATAAATAGTCTGAAGAGGCCCTGCCATGCTGACGACTTCTACCAAAACAGCTGTTACTTGTACACTGGAGATTCTCATTAAGCTTTCCTTTGAACAAAGAATTTTTCTCTTATTGTCAAGCAAGTGTGCAAACCATTGCCCTTAATTACATCCTTGGAAAGAGATTTTTTGGGGAAAGATGGTAAAACTCCACTAGTGGTTGAGTGCTTATCCTGTGCTAAGCCCTGAGAAGACTGTGATGAGGTAGTGCAGCAGGAAAGACAGGTGTTAAGTAATCAAAAGTTAGCTGAACAGTATAAAAAAAAAATGAAATGCTGTGTTCTGACAGATGGGCAGGGCATTCAGTGTACTCTCTACAGCTGTGGTTGAAAAGAAATTACAGGTAAAAGCCCCAGCACATACTGATCACTTGCTTCTCATTTCACCTAGTCCCTGTTGCCTTCCAACCTATGCTTCTACTTTTTCCTGTGGGTTTTCTCCACCTGTTCCTGTACCCAAGGGGATATTCTGTTGTCTTTCAGATGCCAGTATCTGCTGCCTCCTGTCCCTCCTGACTGATCTTCCCTCCGTTGTTATTTGTGGGCCACTCACCCTTGGCTTATGTTTTGGCAGTGTTGTTTTTTTTTTTTTTCTTTTTGGGTCATACCCAGCGATGCACAGGGGTTACTCCTGGCTCTGCACTCAGGAATCACCCCTGGCAGCGCTCAGGGGACCATATGGGATGCTGGGAATCGAACCCGGGTCGGCCGCATGCAAGGCAAACGCCCTACCCGCTGTGCTATTGCTCCAGCCCCTTGGCAGTGTTCTTGAGATCCCAGAGTCCTTGGGCTCTCTGGGGCCCTTTGCTGCCTTCATCCAGGTTTCTTCTGTCTGCGCTCAGGTCTCACGATTGACCAACTAAAAGTGCCTACTGAATTGTACCAGTTGCTCTTCAGGCAGTTTGGCTTGGTTGTCCTACACCAAAACCCTGACTTTTATAGCCCTTAGAATTTGAGGTCCTGGGGCCGGAGAGATTGTATTGCTTGACTTGCATGAAACCAGCCAGGGGTTCCACGTCCCCATATGGCTCTCAGAGCCCTGCCAGGAGTGATGATCCCTGAGAACAGAGCCTGCAGTAAGTCTGAGAGCTGCTAGGTGTGCCCCCACCCTCCTCCCCAAACAACAACAGAATTGGAGGTGTGAGCAGCTGAAATCAAAGGAGGGAAAAGGGTATAGAGATAGAGTGTAGACTGTGATAGACTGCTGAGAGCTGTTCATCATGGAAATAAAGGCATGTTAACTGATAACTGAAGCAGGAAGTAGAAGAAACGAGTGAGTAGAGAGATGTGCAGTAACCGTAGGGTGCTAGTTTGGAGTGTGGGTTCATGTCCCGGGGGCGATGTTGATTGGAACTATACTGTATCTGTGTGCCTGCCTATGTGACTTAACTTGTCTTTAGGAATTATGCTCAGCTGTTTGCATATCGGCACTGAATGAAAAGGTGATTTCATTGCCTCAGCTTGAATTGAATTTCATTAAGGAAGTGTGAAAGGAAGCCCTAAGAGCTGAACATACATATCAAGAGGAAAGTTGGTATAGGGAGAGGTGGGATGAAAAAAAGTTGTGGGGTGAGTGGATGAGAGGTTTTAATCAAGTGGAAGAATCATCTAAAAATGTAATTCATTTGGGGGCTTTGGAGAGCCAGTGCCCTTTGGGCACAGCCCAACAAATTAATAACAAAAGATGGATCGTCCCAAGACATTGAGCCTATGGAGGGTTTACTGTTTTACTGAAGTGGGGGAGGGGCACACCTTGTGCTGTGGGTGGTTGTAGAGGTGGGGAGGATATGGTGCCTCAAATGTAAACATGGTTGCCTGTGCTCTGTCATTTGATCCATCCTGGGTCACTAATGGATGGGGTAGACTGGGACTGCCTGTGCTATAATTCCAGCTCTGTCACTTAGTAGCTGTGTGACCTTGGACAAACTCTGTCCTGTCTCCATTTCTTCCTCTGGAACATGGGGATAAAAATAGTACTTACCTCTGATCTTTGTTTTGAATTGTGTGAGTTAATAGTTGAGTGCTGCATACATAAGTACCTATTAAATAAAAAAGAGTGTCTTTATGAGATGTCTCCGCATAATTTTATCTTGTCTAATGCCTACCTGCCATTTCCTTTCCTTCCTCCTCCAATTACTGCTATTATTTCCTAATCAAACTTTTATCATATGCTCAGTTAAATTAGTCCTCTGCACATTTGTGAGGGGTGTGTGTGGGGGGGGGTTGTTGGTTGAACTAGAAGATCGTTTTTTGGAGGTGCGTGAGGTGTGAGGTATTGGGCCATTCCTGGGGTGTCCACATGCGAAACAAGCACCTTAACCCCTGTACTAGCTCTTTGATCCTGAAATAGAAACTCTTGTTAGATTCTTAACTCTGTGCTGATCATGTGGAAAAGTATATCTTAAATGTTTCTACTTTATGACTTTTATTTTAGCTGTTAAGCGTTTAATGAAAGAAGCAGCAGAATTGAAAGATCCAACAGATCATTACCATGCACAGCCCCTAGAGGTTAGTTTCTATCTTGAACTTTTTACAAATGGATTTTCATATTTTAAATAAATTCCTTAAAGTTTCTTTTCATTGTTTTGGTCATTATAGGTATGTTTGATGTGGTTAATTGATATACTTCCTTCCCTGTATTTCCTGACTATTTTCATTAACCTCTTATATCCCTCTAATGTAGAGAAACAAATTTCTTTCTCTACATTAGAGGGATATAAGATGCTAAGTTGGTTTTCAGTGTTGAGCGTGAGGGAGGGTAAGTGGTGAGACCCCAGACTATTAATAATTTGAAAGACCCAATAATTTGGAAAGCCTTTTGAGGCCTTTTTGTTCCTGTTTGGGCTTTTTATACAAACATCTCTTCAGCCTTTGCTGTAAAAAGAATGAGGGTTTTTTCCTTTTAAATGTTTTGCCTTTTAGAGTCATACCTGGTGATACTTGAGGGTTACTCTTGGCTCTGCACTCAGGAATTACTCCTGGTGTTGCTTGGGGGACCATATGGGATGCTGGGAATTGAACCTGGGTCAGACACATGCAAGGCAAACACCCTACCCACTGTACTATCGCTCCAGCCCCAAAAGGAGGAGGTTTAAATGTGTTCAGTTCTGCTTTTGTTTTAATGGAATAAGATATAGTGATATACGTGCAAGTATTTTGCATATTCTGAAGTACTCAGTAACCATACAATGATGATACAATAATAATGTATATATTAATGTTACTGATCATTTGTAAGTTAAACACTTAGATACCCTTGTGGATGATTTTTTAGTTTCTTAATCAAATTGAGTTTAATTATCTAATTAGTATTCAAAGGTTAATTTACAGCTTAATTTATCCATGCTGTGAATAGATAACAATATTTAGGTGTTTTTGAGTGCATTTGTTTTGAAAAGACAAGCCTTTATGGCATATGAACAATAGAAGTATCTCTTGTTTGTGACTTTTATACGTAAAAATATTTGTGCACTAATAACAGTTCTACTGTGTAGTACTTGCTGATAAAGTAGGTAAAACTTTTTAATGTTGTTGATTCCTTGCTGGTTATTGTTTTTGTTCAGGATAACCTTTTTGAATGGCACTTCACAGTGAGAGGGCCCCCGGATTCTGATTTTGATGGAGGAGTTTATCATGGAAGAATAGTACTGCCACCAGAGTATCCCATGAAACCACCAAGTATAATTCTACTAACGGTAAGAATTATTGGCTTTTTTTTTTTTAATTTGGACCACACCTGGCTGTGTTCAGGACTTACTCCTGGCTCTGTGCTCAGAGCTCACTCCTGATGGGCTCACGGACCATATGGGGTGCCAGGGATTGAACACAGTTGGCCACATGCAAGGCAAATGCCCTACCCACTGTACTATCACTCTGGCCCACTTGACATTTTTGTAATGCTTTTGCTTTAATTCTTTATGGTACTGCAAAATATGGTTAGAAAATACTTATCTTTTTTTTTTTTTTGGCAACTCAAGTATGTAAAGCATGCACTCTAGAATTAAGTGGTAGCCCTAGCCAAGTACACATTTTCATTGAGAAATATGGTGCATAATTTCATTGCTTTTGGGGACCTGCCTTTGGGAGTATAATTCTTTTTCCCCAGTTTTTGGGCCACACCTACGGTGCTCAGGGGACCATGTAGGGAATCAAATCCAGGGCTCTTATTTGCAAAGCATGCACTCCAGTCTCTTGAGCCATTTCCCTGACCTGAGGAACTATATAATACCTCCTTCCTCCTATCACCCAAGATTCTTAGGACATTGAAGCATCTAAAAAGTACTATAGATTAAATGGATGTGTGATTATAGATATCATTATAATTGATATCTATGTAGCAATTGTTATATAGATGCAATTGTTAGTTACATGTGAGTTAATAGATGCAAAATGCTAGGTGCAGCAGATGTTAACTGCTCCATAAAAAATAATGTTATTGGGGAAAAGGATTATGGCTCAGTGGTAAAGAATACTTTTCACAGGGATGAATCCCTGGGTTCTAACCCCAGGTATGCACCTCCACTCAAGAGAAAGTTGTATTTTTATATTTGTAACTACAAAATCTTCTTCAACTTCTCACCTTATGTTCTCTGTTACTCAGTTTCTTCATCTCTGTGTAGAGATCTTAAAAATAAGAACTAAATACTTGATAACTTATTATTTATAAAGTAGAATTTCCATCTCTACAGATTTTATCTTTATGTGAAGGAAAATCTTACTGATTCATTTTTGGTTTTTGAGGCCAGACCTTGAATCGCTCAGAACTTTTTCTTCTGGCAGTATTAGGGGACTGTGCAGTGTGAGGGATCAAACCCAGGTCCCCAACATGCAAAACATACACCCTGGACAATTTTGAGCTATCTCTGTAGCTCTGCAGGAAAACTACCACTCCATTTTTTCTTGTATTTTCTGAGAAATTATGCATCAGTATATTCCTTAATGAGGCATTTCTTCCCTTAGTTCTTTTCATGTGTTTTTTTGTGTTTAGTTATGCTTTAATCTAACCTTGATAGAAGTAAAAAAAAAAATACCCAAAAACCTTCCTGCACTTCAACTATGGCTCTGAATTGTCCTGTTTTTCTTTTTCATAATCTTAAAAGCATCCTTAGTCTAGTCTTTGCCTATTGCAGTCTCATTTCTACACATTGCACATTGTCGAAATACACTCACTTCAGCTGTTTCAGTGACTAGTATGAAGTTCCACTGACTCATTGTTAGTCTTTATCCTACTCCACCTGAGTGATGCATCATCAAACACACTGTGTAGCAAATGGTGACACAAAGGTATTCAGTAAAAAACAAATAAGTGCTGCTTCTGATTACAGTTGGTGTAGTAGAAGAACATTCTTTTTAGAGCCAATAGACCAGTATTCTGAATAAATGAGAGCAGTGTTCATTCCTTTATGTCATGGGAAGCTTATCTCATTTTGAAATTCACTTCTCATTTCTCCAAGAGGATGTATATGGTAAACATAATTCTCCTGGTGTATAGGGATTGACTAACAAATATTGGGTGATTTTGAGAATTGTTAATGCAGGTGGTGGGGATGGATCAATATTCTAGCCCCCCTGCTGTTTCAGGAGTTACTTCTTTTAGTTGGTAAGTGATCTGAGAGGAAGGACTGCTGCATGAGGAAACTGGTGGAGGGGGGTCTGTTCGGGGTGATAGCTCTAACACTGATAAGTACAGAAACATTTTGGTAGTTACCAAAGGTATGGTTATACTTTGCACAGTGGCTTAGGGTCAGCCCTGCTTTCTGATTTTAAAAGTTTACTTTCTGATTCACTTCTCTCTTTTGATGTCTTTTCTAACCTTAAATCAAGAAATATTTTTCAAACATATCATATATGCTCTGGGTACAACAGAAAATACATCAGATTCTCTGCTATGGACTGGAGAGATAGTATAAGGTTTAGGGCGCTTGCCTTGCACACAGCTGATCCCGGTTCAGTCCCCAGCACCACATATGGTTTCCTGGGCACTGCCAGGAGTGATCCTTGAGCACTACAGGATGTGGGCCCGAACCCTTCCCCTGCCAAAAAAAAAGAAAAAGAAAGAAACTAAAATGATGTGTCTTCAATAATCACCTTTGTGGACTTAGGTTCCAATAGTGTAGACTGTCTTCTGACATCGGCATGTCTGTTTCCGCCTGCCTGCTCTTCTGCCGAGACACCAGGCCCATATCTGAAACATATCATTAGCGCTGATCTTTCCTGGGGGAACACACCTGGTTGTGTCCAGGGCACTAGTGCAATTGAACCCAGGCCTCCCAAGTGCCAAGCATGCTCTCTGTCCTCTTTCTTATCTTTTCTGTTTCTAGCTTTTAAAGTCACCCGTTGGAAAATCTTTCCTGTCTCAGCCTTTCTCTCCATTCCCTTCCTCACCGGTAGCGAGCTATGTGATCCTAAACCCTTGGATTTTGTCCCAGCCTCTACCCTTCAAAGAGCATAGCACTTTACTGGGCACAGATGGTGAGGGCCTTTACCTATCAACTATTTGGACTCTTAAACAGTTCAGTTTTTAAAAGATGCTACAACAGCTTATGAAAATGACTTTTAGCATTTGTTGGAAGCTAACATATTTGTGGGCTATATAGAAGAGAATAAAATGTGTGTCCCCAGAAATTCTTTTTCTTATGTTTTTTTGGTTTATACTTTAGGGTGCTTGGGTGCTGCTGCAGCTGTGGTGCTCAGGGGTCACTCCTAGTAGTGCTGGGTGGGGTGGGCAGGGCAGGGACCATGAGGTGCTGGCGGTTGAACCTGGCCCTCCTGCATGCCAAGCATGCACGTCAGCCCATGGGGCCATCTTGCTGGCTGAGATTACATTCTTTTAAAATTCTTTTTAAAATCTGACATATAGTCGTAGAGTGTCAAGCTTTAAATTTACATATTTAAATTTCTAAATGCCTTATTTATTCCTAAGCCTAATGGACGATTTGAAGTAGGAAAGAAAATCTGTTTGAGCATCTCAGGACATCATCCTGAAACTTGGCAGCCTTCCTGGAGTAGTGAGTATTCATTGAAAGTGAATATAAATCTCATATAACTTTAATCAATTCAGAATTATAAAATATAATGTTCTCTTGAGATCAAAGCTTTTGGGGGTAAATAAATTGATATTAATAAATAATAAAAGCATTTTTCCTTGTCTTGGATTTTGCTATAATTTCAACTGAACCCCCTATCTAGTGGGAAAAAAAATTTCCTCCCTTTTCCAAAGTAAATCTGCATCTTTTATTTAAGTAATTAATCTATTCTTTTTTGTGGTGGGGGGTTTGGACCACACCTGGTGGTGCTTAGGACCTGCTCCCGACTCTGTGCTTAGGGGTCACTCCCACCATAAGCAGTGCTGGGGATCAAACCAGGGCGGGCCACATGCAGGGCAAGCGCCTTAACCCCTGTTCTCTCTCTCCAGCCCTGCCCTGCCGTACCTTTTGCAAAGCAGCTTAGATTGATGTCTACTTTTTATTTCAGTAAGAACAGCACTGTTAGCCATCATTGGTTTTATGCCAACAAAAGGAGAAGGAGCAATAGGTTCTCTAGATTATACACCCGAAGAAAGAAAAGCTCTTGCCAAAAAGTAAGTTTTGCGTTTCTTTAGTAACCAAGGACTGTTCTTCCTAACTGCTGTTAAGAGACAGGCTCTGTCTCTCGCTTACTTTGTGAGCTAACTTGGCTACAGGATCTAATCTTTGTTTTGCTCTTTCAGAAATATGTTTGTACCAATTTCCCCAGGGATGTTTTTAGACATAAAAACAAATCTGAAGAGTTGTTTTTATGTGTAGTTTTTAAGAAGTAGTTGATAATAACAGTAGGGACTGTCTTATTCTGTAGCACAGCACTGGCCATTTGGGGGCGGGGGGTGGGGGCACACAACTGCTTGTGCTCAGGGCTTAGTTACTCCTGGCTCTGCACTTACGGATCACTCCTGGTGGGCTTGGAGGACCATATGGGGTACTTGGGATTGAACCCAGGTAGGCCCATGTTGACCAAAAGTAGATATATTTCGGGGCATGGGGATGGCTCCTGTGTCCTAGAGCACCTGCTTTGCAAGCAGAAGGTTGTAGGTTCAGTCTCTGCTACTTGCACACGTACTGAGTACAGTCCCAAAGACTGTTCACACCTGGCAGCCTTGCAGTCTTTGGCACCCTCTCAGAGTCATAGATTATTTCCAGCTATACTGCACCCAAGTGCAAGCTCCAGTATTGGCAAAAAAAAAAAAAAAAAGATGTGGGAGGATATAGCAAGAGGGTGTGATCCCTTGTAAACGCTAGTCCAAGCAGCACAGCTGGAAGGAATGCAGCCCCTATTATGCCAGCTCCACAGGAACAAGCCCATTATGCCAGCTCCACAGCCTAAGGTTCAGCCTCTGGTAAGCCCATAGACAAATGTGTGAACACCACAGCAAAGGGTGTGCTTGAGCCCCTGGTTCTCACAGCAAGGAAGGGAAAGGAAGCAAGGGGGAAGAAAACAGTAAACAACACATAGTGCCTTCCTTTAAAATTTTAAAAAAGTTAACATTTCAATTTGGGAATATCTGATTCATTCAAGAATGTGGACAGCAGTTTCTGGTGTAACCAAAAATAGAAATAAAGAGTAGATGAATACTCTTTTTAACTTTCTTTAAAAGAAGTTGAATCATAAATGTCTTGTTTTGTTTTTGGTCCACACCCAGCTGTGCTCAGGGCTTACTCCTGGCTCTGTGCTCAGGGATTACTCCTGGCAGGGCTGGGGGGACCATATGGAATGCTGGGGATCACATGCAGGTCGCCTGCATGCAAGGCAAGCTCCTTACCCTCTGTAATGTTGCTTTGACCACACATCATAAAATTTTTTGTGCCATTTGTGTTGGAATAAAATTTAAAATGGAATTTACAAGACTTAATTATATTTTTCATACATACATCATTCCAACATCACCCCCATTACCATAGAACCCTCTTCCCTCTACCAGTGTCCCAAGGATACCTCCCATCCACCCCGCCAATAATGCAAGCTCAAGTCTGTAGATAAAATCTCCAATTCTGTTGACTTTAACCATTTGTTGTCCCCTTACTGTGTTTATTTGTATCCCAGATACGGTATTTTTAAAAATTTATTGTGGAGGTGGTACCATCTACACACATATAGGTGAATAAAGTTGTTTCTAAATTAACAAAAACATTAAAAATAAGTTGATAAATATTTTTTAAAATTATTTATTTTGCTTTTTGGGTCACACCAGCGATGCTCAGGGGTTACTCCTGGCTCTGCACTCAGGAATTACTCCTGGCGGTGCTCAGGGGATCATATGGGATGCCGGGGATCAAACCCAGGTCGGCAGTGCAAGGCAAACGCCCTACCCGCTGTGCTATTGCTCCGGTCCCAAGTTGATAAACATTTTAAAAAACTGTAATGTTTCAGAAGTAACATGTTATTTAAGACCTAATATTGAATTAGCACTATAATGAAAAAAATATCATTACTTGATAAAGAAGTTCAGCAACATATTTTTACTCCCAGTCATACAAACCCTCAGTGCTGTTACGAACTTTTAGGATATCTGAAATACACAGGGAATGACGAAAACAGAAAACAAACCTTAGGGGCCAGAGAAATAATATAGCAGGTAGATTGCTTGCTTGTCTTGCACAAATTCGAGCCAGGTTTGATCCCTAGCATTCCATATGGTCCCCTAGCACACTTCCAGGAGTAATTCCTGAGTGTCGGATTTTACACGAGTTATCCCATCTTTCAAGTCTACTAGAATTTAAATGGATAGGATTTAGTGAAGTTCCCCTCCCCCCACCTTGGAAATATCTCTTATGTTCTGTTTTTGGTTTTTTTGCTATTTCATGTGTGTGTTTTGCTAAAGATAATTTGAGCTTTCTAATGTACTTTTTCCCCACAAACTTAACATGGACTTGTTTTGTATGATTTTGAGGATAATATAATTAACTTATTTCATCATTGTGTAGACGTTATTTTTGTTTAGATAGGATAATGTGATAAAAGAGTCTGAGTCCAGAATGTGGGCAGGCAGCTGGCTCATACCCAGGATTGCTCAGGGGCTGTTCCCACCTCAGTGTTTGGGACGTACTCCCAGCAGTGCCAGAGGATTCTTGCATGCAGAGCATGTATTCCAGCCGTTTGAACTATCTCTCTGTCCCCCGATTATTTTTTTAAACTTCAGATTTTTAAAAATTGAGAGACTGTTATAAACTTTTTTTTTACACTAACTTACTTTTTAAATTGATCTTAGAATTGTAATTATTGTAATAATGGTCCAATTTACATGTAAATGAATTGAATCATACAGTGCTTTTTAAATTTAATCATCCAGCTTTTGAATGTGCATTTGGACAAGCATCTAAGTATTTGATTTTACCCATCAAAAAACTTATCTTCTAACAGATCACAAGATTTCTGTTGTGAGGGTTGTGGTTCTACCATGAAGGACGTCTTGTTGCCTTTACAATCTGGAAGTGATTCAAGCCAGGCTGACCAAGAAGCCAAGGAACTAGCTAGACAGATCAGTTTTAAGGTATTCTTAATTTGTAAATGATTTCTAAGTATTCCTTTTGCTTACTACCAAATTTTCTATAGAAAAGAAAGCAATAGATTCTTAGAAATAATTTTTTTCTTATTACAAAATTAATAATATACACTCACAAAGACAACACTGTAATGGTTTGAAGCTTGGGCTCTGTTGAACCAAGAGGGTGACCCCCATGGATCTGGAGTGGCAGAAGGCCTTTGCAGAGTTTCAAGCCAAAGTTAATGACACTTCAAGCCAAGGTTAATGTCAAAATGATAGGACAGTGGGTAGGGTGGGGTGTTTGCTTTGCTCATGGCCAACCCTGGTTTGATCTCCAGCATCTCATATGGTCCTTTGAGCACTACCAAGAGGAATTCTTGAGTGCAGAGCCAGGAGTGACCCCTGAGCACTCTGAGTATAGCCCAAAAACAGAAAGGGGAAAAAAATTAACAAAGTTATTGATACTCAACAGAGGAGATGCTTGCAGATGTAGATTGAACAGCTAAATGAAACGAAAAAGCATGCACATTTTGTTTTAAATTTTTTTATTTTATAAGGTAGTTCACAATATTTTATTACAGTTAATATTCAAATACCAATCCTACCACCATTATACCTTCCCACCACCAAATTTGGGATGTTTCCATCCAAAGCCCCAATCCCTGTCCCAAAACACAACTGAAGTAATATAATTTGTATTGTCTGTTATGGGAAACCGTCTTAATGATATGTTGCGCAGCTGCACGGTCCAGGAATACATTCACTCGTATGTGAGGCTCGGCCAAGCTGTGTGGGGAATGGCGATGAGCTTGGTGGCAATTGGGTTCTGAAGATTTTTGGCTGCTGGGGCTGGGTCCCTTAGAACGGGGTGGACTCTCACCCACCCCCCTCTGGGACGCCCCGAGTAAAACAACGTGGCTCAGAGTCCAGTGGCAAAGAGCGTGCACATTTGACACATAAATTAGGTAGATAAGACCGTCTTGTATGTAGGTGTAGGAAGAATATTCTTTGTTCCAAGGAAGTAATTCACAGCTCACTCCTGGAGAAAGAGAAAAATCAACTGGAACAATAGAAATGTTGCCTCTAGTGGAGCAGTTGAAGGAAGCTGAGGACATTTGGCAGTGCTGCTGGACAGAAGGGCACAGTTGGGAGCCCTGGGGAGCTTTTCCTCCTCACTTCTCCTCCATGTAAGGGCAGAGGGGCCATACTGTACTCTGATGGGTGTTTAATACAGATGTCTAGTAACCCCACTTTATGTACTTCAGATCCCAGCCCTGTATTTTTTATCCTTGCTTTGCTGGACACTCCTGCCTCTTGGGGGTGAGTCCTGAAGTTCTAGGAGAGAGTGAGGTGCTGTGCTCAATCCTATGATTAGCTATCCTGGTCTGACCAATAAAGAACATGTGCTCATTTTGGAAAAAAAAAAAAGAGTTTGGACCCTGGTATGCAATACATACATCCGTTTTTAAATACCCAGCTTTGATAGCTTTTGCAAAAGCTGACATTATTCTTCAGTTGTCAGTAATTGACCAAAATGAAAATAATGTATTCATAAAACAAACCTCAGCTTTGTGCTTATTAGTGGAATTATATTAGACATATTAACTGCTTTGTGCTTTTTTCTCATTTGTAAATTACAGTAGTACTTATCATGAAAGATTATCAGAGAGATAGTATGGTGGCTAATGAGGCATTTGTCTTGCACGCAGTCAACCCCAGTTCAGTCCCCAGCATAGCATATGATCACAGCCAGGAGAAATCCCTGAGCACAAGCCAGGAGTAAGCCATTAGCACAGCCTGGACAAGGAAGTATTTACTACATCTTGGTTACTCTCTTCCTTCTCAAAATTCCCATTGTATTCAAAATTACTCCTCTGAAGTTTTATCAAGCATATAACAATATATAGCTGTAGTGGAGTCTGGAAAAGCATTCCACAATCAAATGCACCTGTATTTTCTCAGCAAACATGGAAATACTTAATGTGGAAGAAAGAGTAAATAATTTTACTTGTCAACTTTGCCTGATAATTGTTTTTTAAATAATTTTGAAAGACTTTTGGTTTTTAGAGACTGTGAACAATGATTTCAATTTTGTCCTTCAAGTAACGGCTTGAAAACAGGAATTTTTTATGCTTCTTTCTAAGTACTAGTATAGAGTTGGGCATATTAATGCTCCGTGTTTGACTGATGGTTGATATTGATGTGGCAATTGAAGTACTAAATAGGGAGAATTTTGTGGTAGGTTGTAGAACATACGTACTATGTGCCTCCTCTTATAACTGCTGTTGGGTTTGTCTTTTTTTATAGGCAGAAGTTAATTCATCTGGAAAAACGATTGCTGAGTCAGACTTAAACCACTCTTTTTCACTAAATGACTTACAGGATGATATACCTACAACATTCCAAGGCCCCACAGCCAGTACATCGGTATGACTCTTGTCTTTTACATAGACCTCTATCATTGTCATTTGGATGAGGAGGAGGGAATTCCATAAAATATTCAAATATTTTGTCTCTCCTTACAGTGGGATTCTAGCCCAACTCTCCCTCTAATGAATTATATGATCCCTAGGCAAGTTATTTATGGTCATCTTTTCTAGGCCTTCTTTTTTTGTTAAATGGGGCTGACGAAATAATTTAATTCTTGAGGCTTTCCCAGCAGAGTGAGGGGAACCAGGACCATTTCCCAGCTGTCAGCCAACTGGGCCTTATGGTTTGAAGCTGAGGCCTGGCACTGCGTAATGATTCAGGCCCAGCCATACTGGGGCTTCCAGGGCTACATATAGTGCTGATGGGAGTTGGGGGAGGTGCTTGTGACTTGAACTCAGGTCCTTCTATACTCAGAGGCCTGTGCCCTGACCCCTTATCCCCTGGCTAATTGTAGGTCCTGATGTCCCTCCAGAATTCTGTGATTTCTCTGCAAAGTTCATTTCAGTATCATGCTAGGTTCTGACTAAAACATGCATACATTTCTCACTTCCTAAGTCAGAACTCTTTTTGTTGTTGTTGTTGTGAGTTTGGTTTTGATTTGGGAGCCACACCAGGTGTCCCTGGTAGTGCTTGGGTGACTATATTTGGTGCTCGCAATTTTAACTGGGGTCAGTGGGATGCAAGCTAGTGCCCGAGCCCCTCTTCTGTCTCTCTGGCCCATAAATAGTAACTCTGTTTTTGACAGATAGGTTAAGTTGCATCAAAACATAAACTCCTGAGAGAGGAGGGGATACTGGGAAGGAACATTGGTGGTGGAAAATGTACACTGGTGAAGGGATGGGTTTTTGATCAGTGTATGACTGAAACTCAAATATGGAAGTTTTCTAGCTGTAGCTCGTGGTGATTCAGTAAAAATAAATAAAATTTAAAAAAGAAGATAAAGTAAAAGCTAAAAAGCAAAACAACATAAATTCTAACAAAGACATGGAACCAGAGCTTGCCGCGGACTCTCTGTCTAATACTGTAGCTGATTGTTTATATATCACGCAACATAAATTAAAAAAAAACTGATTTCTCAGTCACATTGACCACTTTCCAAATAAGTCGACTCAGCTAATCACCATGGCTACCATATTTGGACAGCATAGACTTTGAGCACTTATCATCATCAAAGACAGCTCTGTTGAACCGTGCTGTATTGCCCATAGTAAATGTCCTGTAATTCTTAGTGATGGAATAGGTACTACTGTCTATCGTTAGACTAGGCCTAGGTTATCAAACAAATTGAAAAAATGTAGCTGGAGGGCCTTGAAATGACTCAAAGATCTGGAGTATATGCTTTGCATGCAAGAGGACCCAGTTTTGACACCCCCTCTAACCCCCAGTACCATATAGTCTCCTAAGCATGCCCAGAAGTGACACCCTCCCTCCAGCCCAGCACTGCTGAGCATGACCCAAAAAATAAAATAGAAAAAAAAAAATACATGACTAGGTCATTGCTAAATCAGATTATGAGGAAAAACTTTGCCTTTCCTTTCTTCTATTCAGAAGTTGGACTTTTGGAGAGTTCCTTTTCATAACAGATTGTTAGATATAGTAGCCACCTATTTTTTATTCTCCATTGTCAGTATATACGGAATTTTAAAGGTTCAGGAAAATTGAAATGGAAGCTGGGAAAATGTGTGAGCAAGTGCACACAGAAAGCTTGTACTTCAGCCCTTTGAGGGTATGTGTGTGCACACTGGGGATTCAAGTCAGGACCTCATGTACGAGGCAAGTGCTTTTCCCTTAGCACCACTTCCTCAGCCTGTAATTGTTTGTTTGTTTTGACATACTAGGACAAGTCTCCTAATACTTGTAATATATTTAAATCTCTCTTTTGTCTTTAATTTTTTGTTGTTGTTGTTGTTTTTGGGGGGGGGGTCTCACCTGGCGATACTCAGAAATTACCCCTGGCTCTGCACTCAGGGATTACTCCTGGCGGTGCTCGGGGGACCATATGGGATGCTGGGAATCGAACTCGGGTCGGCCGCGTGCAAGGCAAACACCCTACCCGCTGTGCTATTGCTCCAGCCCCATTGTCTTTAATATTTTAAATCCAAGTCAAGGCCTTTCCTGTTGGATATTTCCTGTTGTATTTATTTCCAGTTTTATTCTGTTTTGTAGTTATTGTCTGTATCACTTCCCAGAATGTAAGTTTCTTTGGGTCAGGCCCTTCTTTTCTCCTCTCTGTATCCCCAGTGTCTGGCATTTTGATTTGCATATAGTAGCATGATCAGTACATATTTGTTGAGTGAATGATGACCAAATTGTACTTTCAGACACTACTAGTAATAAAGAACTTGAGTTTATATAAATTAGATCACATGAATCAAAGTAGTCATTGTAGTATTTTTTATTCTAATTTTAATATATTAAAAAACTGTTTATCACAGGGGCCAGAGCAATAGTACAGCAGATACGGCTTTTGCCTTGTACACAGCAGACTAGAGTTCGATCACCGGAATCCCATATGGTCCCCCAAGCACCGCCACGAGTGATTCTTGAGTGCAGAGTCAGGAGTAACCCCTCAACGTTGCCAGATGTGACCCAGAAAGACCAAAACAAACAAACAAAACCTGTTTATCATGATAAGGATGGTAAATAGTTCTGACAGTTCTGGGTAAAACACTTGAGCTACAGATGGGCTACAGTTGCAGATTAAACTCTTTAATTTACAGTGTGATCACTATGGAAATAACTTGGTTTCGGCTGAGGGAGCTACTTTATATTCAGGCTCAGTGTGAATTTACTGAGATGTTCTCTATCAAATCCCAGATAAGCTATGTTGTGTGATTTTTTTTTTTTTTAGCTTTGAGTAGGCGAGAGAGTCCCCCAAATCTAGAGACTTGAGATAATATCAGGCCATCTGGTGCTTTTAGATGGAGATATTTTAGCAATTTCAAAATGGGAACTTCATTTTGAAGTATTTAAGGAAATAGAGGCTTTCATACAGCTACATATACATATATTTTTAATATTTTTAGTGTGGAGTCCAGAACCCGTCAGGAACCTCTCTTCAACAGCCTACCCAGCCTGGAGCAAAGAGCACATCTCTGAGCCCTCGACAGCGCCGAGCCCAGCAGCAGAGTCAGAGAAGAGTGTCTGCTTCACCCGATGTAATCCAGGGTCAGCAGCCACGAGAGAACCGCACTGACCATGGCGGCTCCGCTGTACTGATTGTCATCTTGACTTTAGCATTGGCCGCTCTCATATTCCGACGGATCTATCTGGCCAACGAGTACATATTCGACTTTGAGTTATAATATTGTTTTGTGTCTTAAGAGCTGTGACTCATCTGCTTCATTAAACATTCTGCATTGGGTATAATCTAAGAATTGTTTACAAACGGATTATTTTGTACCTGCCCTTCATTCCTTATTTGATCCGTATAAATCCAGTAGTCCTAGACATGCAGACTGTGTCTTGCTTAGTTGAACGGACAGGAAATCAAATTCTCTTGTCTCACTAGGTGACTTACTTTACAGGGACATAGAACTTAATGTTGTTTCTTGCTTTTTTTTTTTCTTCCCCCATGTAAATTTGTGATATTTTTCTGTATAGCCCTTTGAAATCTTTTGGATAAAAAAGATGGTGTTTTAAGTTTCAACAAGTATTACTAATCACTCAACACCATTTATTGAATGTTCTGTTTCTACTTATATTAAGTGATATGGGGATAAAACAGTTGAAAAGGGAAAGTAAACCCCTCAGATAGATTGCTTAAAATGTCATTCTAGAAGCCATGCTAGGATGGCCCTTTCTGTGACTGACTGTGCACTAAACCATTCTTCAGCGGAAGTAAGTATTTCAGCCAAACATTTAGCAGAAAGTGAGATCACATCTTTATTATTGGATGTCAGCTGATGGAATGACACATCATAACTGCTTTGAAATACTGTTATGCCCTTCTCTCCAATAATGCACACTAGATTTGAAAACAAAACAAATCTTCTACAGGTCTTTGTTTTAAAGCACAAAGGGTCCAAGTCAGGAAATTGCTTGACTTTTTTTTTTTTTTTTAGTTAAATGGAATTAGCTTAAGATTTGAATGTTTGCTCCGCTTTGAACTGTTTATCTTTTGAGATGTATTGTATGCTTAGCTTTATAATCACTATAAATTTAATTATTCCGGGAATATACAGGAATATACATAATGTTGAAATATTTTATGTACCATTTTAATAGAAAAGCTCAGGGCCCAAGCAACAGTGATAGAAATTAGAAAAAAAATCTTTTCTTAGGATTTACTGTCCACCTAATCAAAGCCCAAGAGATAATTCTCAGTACAAAATCATTATAACTTAGTGTTAGCTCCACAGATGGTTAATAGATAATTTTATCATCGTAATGCCTGATAAGAACATGTAATCACAGGAACACAAGGAGCCATTGCCTTCAGCATGTTCAGTAGCAACATTGATGGCACTCTTGGGAGTATGATTAATGATTTAATTGTTAAGCATAGGCGGTTACCCGATTTTAATTTGTTATGCTCTAAAAGTGCATTTTTAAGTTAAAAATTTTTATTTTTACAACTTGATGTTGTAAATGGTATTAGGCTGATCCACAAAAGTTAGTCCATAATGTATCTTAAATATTGGAGGATGACATTCACAAAGTCCTTTGTGGTTTTAACTAACAAATTATGGGCAAGAAACAATGATTTTAAAGGCAAATAAGTTTTTACTCCTATTCTGGGACTTTGATTCTTTTAATCATCAGACAATTTCTGTTTTTAGCTAATAGGCAGTTTTCCTTATGTTTGAATTTAAAGAAAGGTCATATTGTATACTAGTTAGTATACGTAGTTGTCATAAACTGCAATAATTAAAAATTTTTAGGTGTTTACAGATAGTTTCTGTTCTATAGCTGAAGTTGGTAAATTTAAAAAAAAACTCAAGGACTATATGAGAATCTCCTCTGGAAAGTTATAGGTTACTATTTTATAACTCTTGCTAGGAGAAAAAACGTTCTGGAGTCTTGGTTTGAAACACAAAGTGTTAGAAGTCTTGGCCAATGGTGGTTGATCCTATAGCAAAAAATCATTGACTCAGACTTGGGAATATTACCACCTAAAAAGGAGGAAATTCCCAAACTTGCAATACATGCTGAGATTAGTCCTCATTAGGGACAGCCTTCTGTCCATCTCTTGGTGGAACTTGAGCTAGCCTCAGTGACCTCTTTGCCTGTCTCCATTTACAGGGTGGACCTAGACTTTCAGCTCGAGTCAGCCAAATGGCTTTCACATTGTGCTGATCCTTCGCTCATTGATCTGCCTCTTCCCTCGCCCATCAACTGGCAAGTCGTTTTCTGGCTAGTATCAGTTAGCATCTGATACATATCTGAACCAGCCTATTTTGCTCCTTGCTCTGTTCCTTTCAGCTCGCACATACTACCTAAGAATATTTAAGTTGTTAGCCAGACTTCCATTGAGGAGGAATTAGCAAAATTGATCTTTGGGTCTATTCTTTCTTACACTTTATCTGAAGAACCTCTTCAGAAAACATAATTTTCAAATCCCACTTTAACTTCATAATTGCAGCATCAGGCCAAAACTGGATATATTATTTAAAAAGATAAAGGCCAAGAATTCCCTCTTCTAATCCTCAGATTTAGAAAACTCACAGCTTTTTCTTTGACCAGTATAAGCACATGACTACATGTCAAGGTACTTAAATTAGCATGCTTGGAAAAAATAATGTTTCACCTGTAACTGTTTAAGCCAATGAAACTTTACAAACTTTATGTATTATGGGCTTTTATGTAGCACTTTATATTTTCATGCTGCTTATTTTATTCTACTGAAATAAATTAATTTCATCAAAATTCTCAATTTTTTTAAAAAGTAATTGTTAATTTTTTGGAGTATGGAAATATAAATTTCTTATTTAAAAAGAATAAGAAATTTTTTTGTTATTTTTGGCTATGAATAAACTTTCTGGTATCTCAAGGTCTACCATTTTTATAGACCACAATCAGTCAACAGGCAAACCTCACAGATTCAGTCCAAATACTTGAGCAGAAATATAGCAGAAAAGCAGAAAAACCTATAGTGTTTTGTTACTTGAGAGTCTGTATATGGAGGGTGAATGTGTTTGGTGAACTGACTTTTAATGAAGAATGTGTACATTAACGTGTACAAGTAAAGCCATCTTGAGAGGCTGTGCTTTTGCTCAACAGCTGTTTTGATCTTTAACAGTTGCCTGCAGAACTAGTCTGAGCTGCTCAATAAAACCAGTAACTTTATTCATACCTCGTTTGACCAAAGGTTGTATTCTTTATGGCGTTGGGTTTTATCTTCGGTTCATTGTCCCTCCTTGCTTGTTCTCTCACAGTATTTCACTCCTTTTCAGACTCGCTTTTAGTGCTTTACTTAGCCATCATCTCCTTGAATTACCACAATCATTCCTAGTGGATCTCTAGTCTTGCTCCCATTCCTCACAGTGCACTCAAGAGTCCATACAGATCAGACCCCATGTCTCAAAGTTATTCTCAAGATGTCAAGTCCTTTGAAATAGGACACAAAATTGTGTGGTCAGAGTTCCACTTGACACTGCCGACTTAACCTGACCTCAGCAGACTCTTCCTGGGACCTTCCATAGTTGAGCTTAGCACAGGTGCCGGTCCTGTATCCTTAGAGAAGAGCAGATATTAAAACTGAACATCACCTCATACCACATACCAAAATTAATTCAAAATGGATCTAAGATGTAAGAGCAAAAATTCTACACAATAGTTGCATAGAAATCAAAAGCACAAGCAAAAGTAAAGTTGTACTTCATGAAACAGCAATCCTTTCGTATTTCAAAAGATACCATTAAGCTAGTGAAAAGAAGATTGAAAAGACAAAGCATGGGAGAAAATATTTGCATGTGACTTCCCCAGTTTGATCCCTACTGAGGAATACACTGTATACTGTATACTGTCTAGCCCCAGGAGTAGAATTTTTTGTTTTGTTTTTGTTTGGAGGGCATAACCAGCAGTGCACAGAGGTTACTCCTGGCTTTGTACTCAAGAATTGCTCCTGGTGGTGCTCAGGGGACCATACATGATACTAAAATCAAACTCAGGTTGACTATGTGCAAGGTAAATGCCCTTCCCATTGTAATGTCGCTCTTGCTCACTGGGAATGGACTTTATTTATTTTTTAAATTTATTTATTGAATCACTGTGAGAAAAGTTATAAAGCTTTCAGGTTTAAGTCTCGGTCATACAATAATCAAACACCCCTCCCCTCACCAGTAATTATTTTTCACCATCAAGAACCCAAGTATACATACCCCTCTCACCCCTCCCAATGCCTGTGAGGCAGATGATTTCTACTTTAACTCTTTTCTTTGAATACATTCATTATTTCGACAAAAGATGTACCACTGTTGTTTGGAATTTCCCTCCAACAATCAGAACTGCTGAAAAGGCATTGTGAAATAATTTGTTTTCTATTGCTGGTTATGAAAACCATATGATGTGTGGCCACCATTGCGGCCGTGTGATTTTGGATTTCTGATATTTTATTAATTAAATCTGGGGGGATTTCTGCCAAGAGCCAGATAATTACGAGATTGGTTTCTGTGTGTCTGATGCCATGGCCATGCCAGAGCCGTTCATGGGGGGCAACTCATGGCCTCGGTTGGGTGTGAAGGACAAGCCGGTTCTGCCCCCCTAGGAATGAACATTAAAACAAATTTCCTGGATAATTCTGAGTGGTCACCTTTAGGTACCAATGAATTGGTCTCCATAGTTAATTATCCTCACTCCTTAACACATTGTAATCTATATACTGCCACATGAGAATCTGTAATTAAAAATTTGAATGAAGGTGCTGGAAAGATAGTTCAGCAGGTAGGGTGTTTGCCTTGCTTGTGGCTGACCCAGGTTCGATCCCCAACATCCCATATGACCCCCTGAATACTGCCAGAAGTGGTTCCTGAGTGCAGAGCCAAAAGTGACACTTGAGTATTGCCAGATGTGTATTGCCAAAACAAGTAATTGAAATGAAGGGTCATTGAGAGCTTTGGATCAGGCTTTGCATTTGGAAGGCGGGGATTCCATCCCTAGCATCACAGGGTCCACAAAGCACTGTAGGAAGCAGTCCTCAAGTACAGAGACAAGGAGTACTTCCTGGACTTTGTTGGGTGGTGTTAAAGCACACACACATACAGAAGAGTTTATGATGAAGTACCAAAGAGACGACACAAAGGATGAGCAGTGAGTATTTGCGTGTGGGTACCCCCAGTTTGATTCCTAGCACTGCATGGTCCCCTGAGCTCCAAGTCAGAAGTAGCCCTAGAGCTCCGCCTGGTGTGGCCCAAAACAATGTTCCAGTTTCCTCTTTTCTGCCCTCACTTTATAGCATGGCTTGTTGGTTGCTTTTTTCCCCAGAAACTCTTCTTTGGTGCCCATAGTCAACTTCCATGTCAGTCCTATGTCTTTGTTCTGGCTACCCAATCATCCTTTAAGAGCACAGATTCTCCTGGATTCTGCACTTGAACTTTTTCTCTTTACTTGGAAGATCTCACTCTTTGCTGTAGTGAGACTATATCCTCTGATGGCTCTAACTCTGTTTCTCCAGACCTTCCCCAGAGTTGCCAGGTTGATCGTCCAGCTGCCTGTTGGGCATCTGGAGGTCCAGAGCACCTCAGATTCCCTAAGTAAAAATTTATCTCATTTTTGCACCAAACTTGTCCACTTCTAAATAGGATCGGCTGATGGTGGTGCCACACACCTATTTCCAAACGACAATCCCAGTGCTCTTTGCCTGCTCTTACCTCCTACCCCATTCAGTCCGTAAAGGGGCTTCTGCTTCACAACTGGACTCTTCTATCTTCCCTTCTTAAGTCCTTTCTCCTGCCTTTAGGACAGGGCTTCATCCTCTTAAGTATTACAACTTCTCTGCTCAAAGGATTCAAGTTAAAAATATGTTAGAAAAATTAACTGGGTCTTATCATTCATTCCTTGGAGTCTTTCTTTCACAACAGAACCCCAGCTGCTTCTGAACATCTGACCGTTCCTCTCCCTGGCTCCTCTTCCATCTTCCATGTGAAGTGTATCACACTAAAGCCTCTCCAGCCCCAGGATGCAGCAATGCAACCAGTAACTGCTTCTGAACATTTAAATTCATTCTGTTCAGTAGATGGCTTGGGGCCACATGTATCTTTAAAGTTCTCTATAATTTCTAGGGTCCTTCTTTCTCTTTCTCTTTCTCTTTTTCTTTCTTTCTCTTTCCTCTTCTGTCCTCCTTTCTTTTCTTTCTCTTTCTCTTTGCTTGCTTTCTTTTTTCTCTTTCCTTCTCTTTCCTTCTTTCTTTTCTTTCTCTTTCTCTCTTTTCTTTTTCTTTGCTCACTTTTTCTTTCTTTCTCCCTTCCTTTCTTTCTCCCTCCCAACCGGTATTGATGAGGATGTGGGGAGAAAGGGACGCTCCTTCACTGCTGGTGGGAATGTTAACTGGTTCAGCCGATTTGGGAAACAGTATGGACGCTTCACAAAAAATTAGAAATTGAGCTCCCATTTTATCCAGCAATACCACTTCTAGGAATAGGAATATATCCTGGAGATGCAAAAAAGTATAGTAGAAATGACATTTGCACTTGTATGTTCACTGCCGCACTGTTTACAACAGCCAGAATCTGGAAAAAACCCGAGTGCCCAACAACAGATGACTGGTTAAGGAAACTTTGGGTCCCCCCCCCCCCCCCCGGGCAGCAAGATAGCGGCCTCCTCGGAGCTTTTTGGAAAGCCAGGTATTGTGGGAAGCCAAGAGCCCTCTCATAGACCCTGGCCGTGGTTCCCATGTTAGGAACTGCTTGGGACAGACATTGGTGACAGTCTCCCAGAACTTCCTGATCTCAGAGGATACCTGATCTATAGCCACACATCAGGCTGACAGCTTATCTGGCCTTATCTATAGCAACCTCCAGGATGCATCTACTCCCTAAGACCCTTTGATATACAAATGTAAAGCTCAGGATGCACCTACTGCCACAAGACCCTTTGATGTGCAAATGTCTACCTTGAATGTTAGGTAAAGCTCTTGTTGCTGACCTTACCATACATGGTTATATTGCTTCTGCTCCTGACTGAGCTGCCCGGACCCTATATAAACAGCCTGTATCCCTCAATAAAGCCTGTCCCTTTTTCTCTCTGTTTCTAAACTGTACTCTGTCTCTTGTGTCTCGTGTTCATTCGGTTGGTCCCTCCTTGCACCATCGGATCAATCCTCGGGCCACCTCCGTGGGCCGGAGAGTGGTTACTGGGGCCCCCTGCAAGGTATGAGCCGCAGTGATGGGGCTACTGAAACCCCGTGGGAAGGGGGGTGTTCCCGGCTCCTCCTTCACGTCCTACTGAGGTCATGAGTTGCCCCCACGAGCAGCTCTCCAGTACGGCCATAGATCCAGAGCCACAGAAACCAATCTCGTAATTATCTGGCTGTTGGCAGAAATACCTCCAGGCTTAATAAGTAAAATATCAGAAATCCAAAATCGCATGGCTGCGATTGTGGCCACGCGACATCATATGGTTTTCATAACCAGTTTTAGAAAACAAATTCTTTCACAATACCCTTTTAGCAGTTCTGATTGTTGGGTCTAAACTCTAAACAATAATGGTGCATCTTTTTTCGAAATAATGAAAGTCATCAAAGTAGATAGAGAGTTAAGTAGAATTCATCTGCCTCACAGGCATTGGGAGAGGTGGGGGGGGTGGTATATTGGGGTTTTGGTGGTGAAAAATAAGTACTGGTGAAGGGAAAGGTGTTTGATCATTGCATGACTGAGACTTAAACCTGAAAGCTTTGTAACTTTTCCCACAGTGATTCAATAAATACAAAAAATAAAATAAAATAAAATTTTAAAATATATATATATATAAAAGAAACTTTGGTACATCTACACAATGGAATACTATGCAGCTGTTAGAAAGGATGAAGTCATGAAAATTGCATAGAAGTGGATCAACATGGAGAGTATTGTGTTAAATGAATTGAGTCAGAAAGAGAGGGACAGACATAGAAAGATTGCACTCATTTGTGAATATAAATTAACAGGATGGGAGACTTACACCCAAGAATAGTAGAGATGAGTACCAGGAGGATTGCTCTGCAGCTTGGAAGCTGGTCTCACATGCTAGGGCAAAGGCAGCTCAGATAGACAAGGGACCACCAAGTAAGGGTGCTTGGAGGGCCCTCTCAGAATGGGAGATGTGTGCTGAAAGTAGACTATAGACTGAGCATGATGGCCACTTAATACCTGCATTGCAAACCACAACACCCTATAGGAGAGAGAGTAAAAGGGAATGCCCTGCCACAGAGGCAAGGTGGGGTGTGGAGGTGGTGGGGGTGGTGGGACGGATACTGGGAACATTAGTGGTGGAGAATGGGCGCTGGTGAAGGAATGGGTACTCATCATTGTATGACTGAAACGTAAGCACGAAAGTTTGTAAGTCTGTAACTGTATCTCACAGTGATTCATTAAAAAAAAAAAAAGACAAGCAAGCAAACAACATGGATTTAAGAGGAAGGCAAGCGACCTTGGCCATCAGCAAAGTAGTTGAAGAAGAAAGCAAGTGACGCTTGGAGGATGGTTCCTGTAGTGTATTCAGCCCCTCGGAACCCGGACATGCTGCTCTCTCTCCAGACACAGTCTCCCGTGCAGATGTGCTTCCTGCTGGCTGTGAGCGAGTGGTGGCAGACTTGCAGCAGGCACAGATTATGGCATGATCAAGAGATTTACTTTTTTTTTTCTTTTTTATGTAACAGTTTTAACCAAAGCTGTTCTAGGACTCAACGGAAGCCGTTTCATGGAAGAACAAGCTTGTTGCCTAATGGCCAATCACTCGGCAGCAGGGAGGCGAGCCTTGGGGTTCAGGTCACGTTCTGGAGGGTTGGAGGGGGCAAGGGGGTACAGGCATGGTATCCAGTATTAAATCAGGCAGATCAGCCTCTCCCCCCTCCCCCCCCCTTCGCCATGCCATGCTGGGGCTGAGAAGCAGCAGGCTGGGCAGCCAGACGGGCTAAGCCCAGGAGACTTGCCTGCGGCAGTTGTTCAAAATCAGTGTGTGGCCTCCGGCACAGACACACCCAAGATGCTGCCTCTCACCAGACTGATGTGCTTGTTTTGCCTGATGGTTCTTGTGGAGAACAGAAAGCCCACACCGAGGAGATGGCCAAGGCACCTGGACACGAGGAGGTAAAGTTGGGGTGGGGGCTTTCCAGGAGTCTGAGGCTTCTTTGGGGCCTCTTTTCTAGCCTGGCGAGGTACTCCAGTCTCCCACAAGTTACCGGGGAGCAAAGCCAGATGGTGCCAAGTGTTTGTTGGGTGCCTGTCCTCAGACATAGCATTTGATTTTAAAGAGTGTTGATGATGTCATGCATAAAATGTCCGTAAATTTCCTGGTGGGTCTGAGCCTGACATCCTGTGGTACCGCAGGCCAGTGTCTCTACCTTCCTCCAGCAGCATCCCCTCTGACACACCGCCCCCACCCCCCATCCTCCTGGTTGGCCTCCCATTCTCCTGCAATGGTTCCCCATTTATTTTTCCTCCTATGGCCCTCTTGGAGTATCCTGGGAGCCCACAGGGGGCCATATGGAGCCTAATTGAGGAAGCAATGCCATAGGTGGCCTATAAATACATAACTAAATGTTTTATTTTGAATGATTAGAAAAAAAATTAACTAAAAGTTATTTTGGTTAAATTGTTGTAGGGCTGGAGCAATAGCACAACGGATAGGGTGTTTGCCTTGCACGCAGCTGACCCAGGTTCGATTCCCAGCATCCCAATGGTCCCCTGAGCACTGCCAGGAGTAACTCCTGAGTGCAGAGCCAGGAGTAACCCCTGTGAATCACCAGGTGTGACCCAAAAAAAGAAAAAAACATTTTAAATAATAATAATTAAATTGTTGTGTTTTTTTGTTGTTGTTTTTGTTTTTGTTTTTGTTGGGTGGGAATGTTCCCTGCAGTGATCAGGAGCTATTTCTGGCTCTGGGCTCAGAAGTGACCCCTGGAGGTGTTCAGGGGACCATATGTGGACCATATTGACCCAGGGATATGATCAACAAAGCTGCATGCAAGACACTTGCCTCCCCTCCAGCACTCTCTCTCCTGCCCTTCTGGAAGTGTTTTGCTTGGGAGTAACCTCATGCTGGGGACCTGTGTGCAGTCCCTGCCCACAATGCTGTCAAGGTGGACGGGTCCAGAGCTGTGCTCACAGAGCTGGGGGTCATGCCTGTATTGGGGACAGGGTGAGGGCTGCAGTCCCGAGAAGGGGTGGGGTTGGGGATGGCACATAGTCTCTGGCACTAGGTTACCAGAAATGAAATCTATCTGTTGGCAGCAGCAAATGCCTTTTCCCCAGGTAATAGACGCATTCCCAAGAAATACCGATCAAGCTGAGAATTTGTATTCCGAGCCATGGTGTGACAAAGTGCCCCAGTAACTTGGCTGAAGTGATAGCACAGCGGTAGGGCGTTTGCCTTGCACGCAGCCAACATGGCCGACCTGAGTTCGATTCCTCCGCCCCTCTCGGAGAGCCCGGCAAAGCTACCGAGAGTATCTCGCCTGCACGGCAAAGCACGTATTCAATATGCCACCCGTGACGTATTCAATATGCCAAACACAGTAACAACAAAGTCTCCAATGGAGACGTTACTGGGCCCGCTCGAGCAAATCGATGATCAACGGGAGGGCCTTTACTTTCTTTACTTTAACTTGGGTGGGAACAGAGGGCCAGAGGGCTCATGCTGGGGAGAGCATCACCCCACTGAGCCTTGATGCAGACAGGTGAAGCTCCACAGGCTGCTGCGACACCTCTTCAGGGCTCCCTGCTCTGCGGCCAGCACCAGAGGTCACTGATGGGATGCCCTGGTCAGCGGATCCAGCCATCACCCCACCTCTAACTCTGTGAAGTGTGAAGAGGTGTGTGTGAGGAAAAAAGCTCCGGGAAAAAGAAGCTTGGGGAACCTGGTTTACACTGATGGTGCTCAGGGCTTACTCTAGGCGCTGCACTCTGAGATCACTCCTGGAGGAATCTGGGGGGCGGGCATGTGGGGTCCCAGGGATCAAACCCTGGTCTTAAAGTCACTTCTGGCAGACTTGGGTGACTTGGGGAACCAATGGGGTGCCAGGAATTGAATCCAGGTTGGCCAGGTAAGGCAAGCACTCTAACCATTGTTCTATCCTACCCCAAGAGTCTCTTGTTTTCTGTTAACTCGAAGGCACAAGTGCTTCCCACAGCTTGCTTATGGCTCAGGAGATCTGGGAATGAGATCTTGGAGCCATTCAGTTTGGAGGAGGAGTCCTGTCTGAGAATGTCTGTCCCCTAAGAACACACAAGGCAAGTGCCTTACCTACTGTACTATCTCCCGGGCCCTGCCTCCATTTAATTTTTTAATTAAAAATGTTTAAATTGGGAGGCCATACCCAGCAGTGTTAGGGGGATCTCCTCCCAGTTCTATGCCCAGCAGTTGCTCAGGGGACCCTGTACTGTGGTCCTGGGGTCGAATTTTGGCCTTCTCCTTCAAAGCCTGCACTCAGCCCCTTGGGCTAGCTCTTTGACCCAAGGTTTATACCATTTTATATTATTTGTTTTTAAGGCAGTCATAATAATAATTCAATAGTTTCCATGTATTGATTCACTTACTCCTCACTAGACTGGCCTGAGATAGATACTTTTACAAAAGTAGAAAGCTAGGCAAAGAAGTTCTAGGCTTGCCCACAGCACACGGCTCCTCAATGGCAGAATCTGAATTAGGCCTCTCAGACGTTTAGTTCTGAGCCTCTCAGAACTCCCCCAGAGCAGGGTATGCTACAGAGAGGGGTGATGGGGCCAAGGTGGAGGATCGGGGGCCACAGTCCTGACTTACTCCTGGCTCTGTGCTCAGGGGTTCCTATAGCACTTTAAACAGATGCCTCTATGGTAGATATTCTAGAACCTTTACTATGTAAAGGGCTTAGTCAATCTGGAAGAGGGCTTACAGTCTGCAGTGTTTCTCAAACTAAAACAAAAACACATCCCACCGTCCTTGGCCTTTGTAATTATTATCTTATGAGACAGCTGTCCACAGAGCATCTTTTTTTCTTTTTTGTTGTTTTTTTGGGGTCACACCCAGAGGCTTACTCCTGATTTTGCACTCAGGGATCACTTCTGGAAGACTTGGGGGACTTGGGGGACCAATGGGGTGTCAGGGATTGAATCCAGGTTGCCCATGTGTAAGGCAAGTGCTCTACTCTACCCACGACTCTATCCCAAGAGTCTTATTTTCTGTTAACTCAAACGCATAAGCGCTTCCCACAGCTTGCTCATGGCTCAGTAGACCTGGAGTGTAAGTTCCTGAGTTACTCAGCTTGGAGGAGGAGTCATGACCGAGAGTGTCTGTCCCCTAAGAACAGTGCTGGGGTGAGCACACACTCCCCCAGCAGCCTGGGCTGTCACCACCTTGTTAGTCTTCAAAGGACCAGAAACTTTTCCAGGCACCTCCTGTACCAACCTGAGACAAGCTGTATCTGACCCTTAGGGAGAGGAGATTCCTGGAATTCTTCCTTCCTTCCCTCCCCCTTCCCTCCCTCCTTCCCTCTCTCCCTCCCTCCTTCCTTCCTCTCTCTTTCTCTCTCCTTCCTTCTTTCCTTCCTTCCTTCCTTCCTTCCTTCCTTCCTTCCTTCCTTCCTTCCTTCTTTCCTCCCTCCCTCCCTCCCTCTTTCCTTCCTTCCTTCCTTCCTTTCTTTCTTTCTTTCTTTCTTTCTTTCTTTCTTTCTTTCTTTCTTTCTCTCTTTCTGTCCGTCTCTCTTTCTCTCTTTCTTTCTTTCTTTCTTTCTTTCTTTCTTTCTCTCTTTCTGTTTCTTTCTTTCTTCTGCCTGTCTTTTTCTTTCTCTCTCTCTCTCTTTCTTTCTTTCTTTCTTTCTTTCTTTCTTCTTTCTGTCTCTTTCTTTCTGTCTGTCCATCTATCTTTCTTTCCTTCTGTTCATCTCTCTTTCTCTCTGTCTTTCTCTTTCTTTCTTTCTTTCTTTCTTTCTTTCTTTCTCTTCCTTCCTTCCCTCCCTACCTCCCTACCTCCCTCCTTCCCTCCTTCCTTCTTCCTTCCTTCCTTCCTTCCTTCCTCTCTCTCTCTCCCTCCCTTCTTTCTTTCTTTCTTTCTTTCTTTCTTTCTTTCTTCCTTCCTTTCTTAAAATGCCAGAGCAGATGGGGGGAAATGAGCATATACAAATAATATTAAACAATCATTGAACGGAGGTTGGGGGAAAAGGGTAAAAAAAATCTTGCTTTGGGCTAAGGAATATGATTCACGTGAGAGGCCTCAACTTGGATCCTTGGCAGTTTGACCCTTGACCAAGCACAGTACCACACTGCCCTTGCCCCCCATGCCCCATTTCCACTGGGTCTGAGCACCCCCGCTCTGGGCGGTATTCATTGTAGGTCCCCAAGCTTCCTCCCCTGGCACTGCTGGACATGGCCACTATTAAAAAGAAGGAGAAGGAATTGCGTGGGAGAACTTGATTCTAGGCCTTTCTGCATCCACTAAGGTGTGTACACGGCCAATCCTGTCTGAGAAATTCAAAGTTATTCACGCATAAGGATAGGCCACTAATTGTGAGTGATTCCATTCTGCCTAGATCTTTCTCATTTGCTCATCTCATCTCTGTAGATAGATCCCTCTCCTGAAAGTTCTGCCAACACACACACACACACACACACACACGCATGCATGCACATGACACATCCCACCCATTCGCACATTCAGTTAACACAGTCTCACAGTCATTTCACGCATGGACACATGGATGCACACACCCTGGTCTCACTCGGTCAGGACTCCCTCCCCTTCAGCCTGCCTCCCTGCACCCTGAGGAGACCCACAGAGCCATGATCCAGTCCAGCACCCGCTCCTCCGAGCTACCTGGTGTTTCTTGTGATGGAATTGCCACCTGCAGAGCCAATTCATCATCTGGGATTTGCTTGTCCTCTTCTCCCTGCCCCACAATCCAGTCAGGGACCTCCCTTCTCTCAGGAGCTTCTCCCAAGGGCTGAGCCTGAGATCGGGGCTCTGCACCTCCTGGCCTTGCCAGTGGGCCTCCCTCCATTGTGTCCTGCCTCCCAGGTGCCCCCAGCTGCCCCAGGTGTCCCTTTCTTGGGAGCGGAGTCTGTGCTTGACTCGGAAGCAGCTCTGCTCCTACGCATCCCAGAACATTTCTCTGAATGAGTGGTGTCAGCTGTCAGGGAAGGCTCTGCGGCTCAGTCACTCAGCTGGGTATGTGACCCCCTTTCCAGATCTTTCTGGGTTTCTTCTCTTCAAGGTAAAGAGGGCTTGTCAGACCTTCCACGGTGGAGCCGGGTTGCAGGTCAGCATGGGTGGCATGTTGATGGGGCCACTGCCGCAAGGAGAAGTGATTCAAGGAAACGTCATTAGTGGCTGCTCTATTGCTGTCAAGTAAATCTCCACATGTAGCATGAACCCTGCATCTCAGAGACATGGCGAGGACACTTTTCTCTCTCTCTGCCCAGGCTGCTTGGAAGCCCCACAAAAGTTCTACAAGTCCCCACTCGGTCAGTGACCAGGGCCCAGCCACACCCATGGAAGGATGAATCAAGAGCATTTGACTCCCACAAATAGCCCAAAACATGGGATTAGTGACCTGTTATTCACTGTCACTGTCCTCCCATTGTTCATCGATTTGCTTGAGCGGGCCCAGTAACGTCTCCATTGTGATACTTGTTACTGTGTTTGGCATATCGAATACACCACGGGGAGCTGGCTTCAGAGTATTATTTAAGGGAATAATACTCTGTTATTATTCCTTTAAAACTTCTGACTCTCACGAGCTGCACTTTCTACTTTGCTAGGGTGCTGCTCTTCCAGCCCACCTGCTCCCCTACTCACTGCCTTTAGATGGATATGGGAGGGGGGTGGCAGGGTGGTGAGTGTGGGACTCCTTGAAGGCTCCCCACCAGACCCTCACATGCCACAGGTCTGGGGTAGTCGCCATGTTCAGTCAAGGGAGACAGGCAGGGGACGGGAGGAGGGGGCGGTCCCACTGGACTCTCCTTGGAGGTGTAGCTGCAATGGGCTTGTGTCAAAGCATCTTTGATCGTGGCATCTCCCCATCTCTCTAACACCCTCAGTGCAGAAAAACAGAAAAAGTCTTTTCCTGGTTTTTTTGGGTTTTTTTTTTTTTTGCTTTTTGGGTCACACCCAGCGATGCACAGGGGTTACTCCTGGCTCTGCACTCAGGAATTACCCCTGGCGATGCTCAGGGGACCATATGGGATGCTGGGAATTGAACCCGGGTCGGCTGCATGCAAGGCAAACACCCTACCCGCTGTGCTATTGCTCTAGTCACCCTGTTTGTTTTTTGGGGTCTCACCTGGTGAGCTCTGTGCTTGGGTGTCATCTCTCATGGTGGTGAGGGATTGAATCTGGATCCCCTGCACGGCATTAAGTTATATCTCCCTGGCTCCAAAAGGATTTTTTATAAGTTAAAAACAAAAGTTTGTTTTATTTAGGCACCATGATATATACAAAGCTGTTAATTCCAGCCTACAAGGTTCCAATTCCAAATCCAGCCGCAGGGTCAGTTCTCTCTCCAGTTACTGTGGTACCTGACCACCCCACCCTACATCCTTAGCAAAGTCTTTTTAAAAATTTTTTAAGGATTATTGTTTGGGTTACATACTTAAAATAGTGTTAACTCATGGTTTTGACATACACAGTTACCTCACCCCTCTACCACGACAGTGTCCAAGTCCCTTTTCAAACAATTTTGGGTTTTAATGAAAAGTGAAAAAAATACCATATGCCTATCACCAATAAGTAGACATTGTCATTGTAAACTTGTTTTTTAAGTGTTGCCAAAGTATTTTGGGCCTTTTTCTTTTTCTTTTTTTTCTTTTCTTTTTTTTTTTTTTTTGGATGCTACATCTAGTGCTGTTCAGGTGCTGCTTCTACTTCGGTGCTCAGGAGACCATTGATCCGGGCCTTCCACATGCAAAGCAAGTGCTCAGCCCAGTGAGCTCTCCCTGACCCCTAACTAACTTAAATTTAAGTCGCTACATGGAGATAGTGGCCACTTCATTAGACCCTCCATGGAGAGAATAGAAGTTGAGGAGGATTCTTTCTTTTTTCTTTTCTTTTGGTTTTGGGGCCACACCTGGCACTGCTCAGGGCTTACTCCTTACCCTGTGCTCAGGGATCAGTCCTGGTAGTGGGGAATATGGAGTGCTGGGGATCAAACTGGCTTGACTATATAAGGCAAGTGCCTTAATATTTGTCCTGTCTCTCTGACCCCAAATCAGCATTTTAACACTTGGTATTTGTGTCAGAATGTTATTAACCATAAAGGTAGTATTAGAATAATGTAAATCTTTGAGAAATAAAACAAGCCATCATCATTCTTCACCAGCCAACCCAACTCTTGTCCTGCAATCATAACTTTTGATAAGATCATTCACTCAGACCTCGCCAAGGGGGGAATGCTAGCCTACCCAGGAGGTTCTAGAAGGCCCCAGCCCTCAGGTGGGTTGGCTGTGAGGACCTGTGGCAGGAAATGTGAGGCGGGGGATGAGATCTTGCAGCTCCTGACCTCCCTTGAAAGGAGAAGAAGCTGGCAGGACAGAAAGACAACATCTGATAGGACAGAAAGACAACGTTTGACAGGAACTTGTCACTCCAAACCATCACCTCAGAGTCTGGGAAATGTCTCAGGGAAACATTCACAGGGAAATGTCTCGTACTTGTCTTTGCAGTCACTTGTACAAGAAGCACCCAGATGTGACCAAGTCCGGCCCAGGAAAGCCTCAGCCCCTCCTGAGAGTGGACAACCATGACTTCACCATGAGGCCCGCCTTTGGAGGTAGGATTGTACCAGGAGGGCTGGGCCTGCTGCCCAGTGCCTCTCCCCAGCTGGGTCCTTCCCCCTGCAGCAGAGAGCTGGGGGCAGTAAGTGGGAAGCTGAGGGACCATTTCCCTTCAGAAAGGAGACTGCCCACCATCCCACCATGTCTGGAAAACTGTCAGGGTCTGGACACAAAATGCTACCCGACTTCTGTGGTCCTCTTCCAGGTCACCTGTTTTTCCAATGCAGCCACAGGGATGATACCGCCGCCTCTGCAGGGCCCCAGATCGCAGGCCTGAGAATGTGTGTGTGTGTGTGTGCGCGTGTGCGTGTGTGGTGGGTTTGTGGGCTCTGACACCTCTTTACTACTCATGGAGTATCCAGTGGGTGTTGAAAAAACTCGAGGAGTAGGAAACTGTGCTCACCTTCTTTACTCAAGATACACACGTTCCTCTGGTACCCCCAGGGCCGCCCCTTTGCTCTCTCAGAGTCCTGGGGCTCTCCCTGCTCTCTCAGGGTCTGGGACAGCAGAGGCCTCAGCAGACAGTCCTGGTGGCAGCTCTTCTATTCGCCCTGATGTTAGGGTGGATGGGACAGCAGCAGCTGAGGCCCACCTCTCTTTCTGCCCCCACATGTGGTCTGCTCGCCCGGAACCTTTCCAGGGCTCATGGATGTAGGTCTCCTGCTGTGTTTTCTCTCTGTCTCTGTCTCTGTCTCTGTCTCTGTCTCTGTCTCTCTCTCTCTCTCTCTCTCTCTCTCTCTCCCCCCTCCCCTGATGTCCCTGGGTTCTCTGGGCTCATCTCCATGGCCACAGGCAGTGACAGGGTGAAAGCACCCCTTGGCTAACTGTTCACTACTAGCTTGCTTACTCAGGGGTCCCTCCTTCCTCTGCCTTGCTCATTCTCTCTGACTCCTATAGTCTTGGGGAACATAAACACACCCTCTGCCTCTTTCTTTCTCTCTCTCATTTTTGGAACACAGCCAGCCGTGCTCAGAGCTTACTCCTGCCTCTGCCCTCCGGAACCACTCCTGACCATGCTGGAGGACCACATATGTGGTGCCAGGGATTAAACCTGGGCTGGCCACCAGCAAGGCAAAGAGCCTGCAGGCTCTGCATTCTCATTCCAACCCTGGGAAACCTATTCTGTAGGTAAACAGGATGGAGTGAGCTCTGTGCCAAGTCTCCTTCCCTACAAATGCTGAAATAGTCACATATTCAGAAGTTCAAGGTTCTGCCATTTTGTCTGAATCCCATTTCCAGGGTCCCTATCCTCAAGGTCTCACTATTTTGCCCCAACTCACTCCCATTCCAGGCTGCTGAACAGGCACAGAGCGTCTTTCAGGCCAAAGGCCTAAGTGTGCTCCACATGGGAGAAAGGTGCTCAAGACTCCCAGTCTCAGAGACACACCCACAGAGCACAGCTGGTGTCTGTCCCCTCCCCCACTGGAGTGTGAGGGTGGGGGTGGGGGACACAGAATGCCTGAGATGCAGGCCACAGCCCCACTTGTGCCTGTGGGGAAACTGAGGCCAGAAGTTTTCTGGTCCTGGAGCCGGAGATAAAACAGCAGGTAGGGCATTTGTCTTGCATGCAGCCGACCCGGGTTCGATCCCTGGCATCCAGTATGGTCCCCTGAGCACCACCAGGAGTGATTCCTGAGTGCAGAGCCAGAAGTAACCCCTGAGCATCACTGGGTGTGGCCCCCAAAAAACAAAACCAAAACCAAACTAAACAAACAGAAGTTTTCTGGCCCTCACCCTGTTGAGCCGGCAGCCCTTCTCCATGTTCTCTGTTTCCTGTCCCAGCGTTCATGGGAAAAATCTTCCAAGGCTTGGTGGCAAGCTCCCCGTGACGTATTCGATATGCCAGACACAGTAACAACAAAGTCTCCAATGGAGACGTTACTGGGCCCACTCGAGCAAATCGATGATCAACGGGAGGGCCTTTAATTAATTAATTATATATAATATTTATATAATAGCACTGTAGCACTGTCTTCCCATTGTTCATAGATTTGCTTGAGCGGACACCAGTAACATCTCCATTGTGAGGCTTGTTGTTACTGTTTTTAGCATATCGAATACATCATGGGGAGCTTTCTAGGCTCTGCCGTGCAGGCGGGATACTCTCGGTAGCTTGCCAGGCTCTCCAAGAGGGGCAGAGGAATCGAACCGGGGTCAGCTGCATGCAAGGCGAATGCACTATCTGCTGTGCTATAGCTCCAGCCCATTTATATAATAATAATAATAAAAATTTTGCGCTTTTTGGGTCACACCCAGCAATGGACAGGGGTTGCTCCTGGCTCATGCACTCAGGAATTACCCCTGGAGGTGCCCGGGGGACCATATGGGATGCTGGGAATTGAACCCGGGTCGGCCTTGTGCACGGCAAACGCCCTACCCGCTGTGCTATCACTCCAGCCCCAATAATAATACAATTTTTAAAAAGCACTTTGGCAATGGGGTGCACCCTACAAGGCCCCCCAGCCCAGCTTGGGAGTCCCCCTCTTCCCTACAAAAGTCAAAGTTTGTTCAGTTTCCTGCCCTGGGAGGTGGTGTTACAGGATTTTATTTATTTATTTATTTGCTTTTTTTGGGTCACACCCAGCAATGCTCAGGGGTTACTCCTGGCTCTGCGTTCAGGAATTACTCCTGGCAGTGCTTAGGGGGCCCTATGGGATGCCGGGGATTGAACCCAGGTCGGCCGCATGCAAGGCAAATGCCCTACCCACTGTACTATGTCACTCCAGCTGACTTTATTTTTTTTTTTTTTTTTTGCTTTTTGGGTCACACCCGGCAATACTCAGGGGTTACTCCTGGCTCTGCACTCAGGCATTACTACTGGTGGTGGACCACATAGGATGCCAGGGGTAAAACCCAGGTCAACAGTGTATAAGGCAAATGCCCTCCCCACTGTACTATTGCTCCAGCCCCTGACCAGCATAACCACAGGAACCTGAACCTCCAGCCCCTCCAGGTGGTGGAGGCTTTTAAAAGGGCGATTTGACAGGTTCATTGCACAACGGACATCTAAAAGTTCTTTTGGTTGACCTTGGCGTGGCTAACACAAACCAGTAGTCACGGGCGGTAAAGGCAAACCCACTGGACAAGGCCCCCAGGCACTGACGCCCAACAGCAGACCAGGACTAAGGGAACAGACAGCTAATGAGAACAGCCTGAGACAGCGAAGACGCTCACAACGGGGGTCTCAGGGTGACAGCAAGGAGCAGGGGGCCCCACAGGCAAGGCTCAAAGCTTTTGGAACCTGTTTGCCGTTGGAAATGGGGCCATTCCTGCCAGTTCCGGGGTTGTGGGGATTAAAGGAGATAATGTCTGTCAAGCCCCTGGCTCGCTTGTGTTGCTTAACCCCCAGAAAACCCAGCTGTCAGCCCTTCTCTTGAGTGACTGTTAAGGGATTAGGACTTGAATGTATTCCAGAGGCCTTTGCATTTTAAAAGGCTTCAAAGCCACCCACTCCATGCCTGAGTCCCAGCACCTGCCCAGCTGAAAGAGCCAAGTGGGCAGTGGGCGTGGGCGGCAGATCGCAGGCCAGCTCAGGTCAGCTCCGGAGGCTGCAGTGTTCCTAAGAGTCTGTTCCTTTAGGGGCTCACCCACTGTCATCCTGCCAAGGAATTATCTGTTTATTTGTTTATCGTGGTGTTGGGGTTACTCTGGGCAGTGCTTATGGGCTACTCTTAGCTCGGTGCTTGGGGTGCTTGGGGTCCAGGATTTGAACCTGGACCTCCTATGTGCAAAGCATTGCTCCAGCCCTTTTGAACAATCTCTCCAACGCCTCTGTCTATAAATTTTATGAAAACAAAGCTTTTCTAAATAACTTTTTAAAAAATTTAAATGTATTATTAGTGTGATTGTGCAGAGGCCATGCCTAAATGCCCAGAACTTACTCCTGGCTCTGGGGGGCGGGAGGGGAGGGGGTGCTTCAAGCAGTGTCAGCCAAGGGCTGTGTTGCCTTAATCTCTGTAACATCTCTCCTACCCCAAATATGCAGCTTTACAGAAAGTGTATTCGGCGCCCAAGTGATAGCACAGCGAGGAGGATATTTGCCTTGCAAATGGCCAACCCAGGTTCAATCCCCAGCATCCCATATGGTCCCCTGAGCCCTGTGAGGAGTAATTGCTGTGTGCAGAGCCAGGAGTAACCCCTAAGCATTGCTGGGTGTGGCCAAAAACCAACCAAACAAAATAGCTGTATTTGCTTCAGAGGTCCAAGTCCTCCCAAAGTTCCTGGAACAGGAAGTTCTCCCTTGCTTTTCTTACAGGAAGTCAGGTAAGATGCAGAGGGCCAGATAAGCCAGCAGAGGCAATAGTAAACAGTAGTGTCGAGAATGATAAACACCATCAGGGCAGTGTCTCCTGGCCAGGCATAATTCTCTAATCAAGCTGCCCCATACATGATCTCATTGTCCTTCTCATAGCACCTGAGAGACAGATGCTAGGATTACCCACAGATGGACAAACCGAGTCACCACAAGGTTAAAAGGCCTGCTCCCTCCGAGCTGGGTTTCTCCCTGGTCTCCTCTGCCTGTATATCTCACATCGCAGCATGGACAAATTTATCAGGTAGTGTGGGGAGAGTGTCCAGGGACCACTATACTCTTAGGGGAAATCTCTGAAAATGTCTTTATTTCTTTTAAAATCCAAAGGACAAAAAGTTAGAAGAGAAAACCTTTTTTTTTTTCTATATCATGTTACTTTAGTATTTGTCTTTATAGCAATACAGTCATAACATATGTCCCTTCCTATTACTTATGGAAGGAGAGGCCCATAAAGACCAACACAACATTTTTCTGCGGGGTGGTTGTGTTGGCTGTGCATGCACTGAAATGACTCTCTACCCGAGTCTGCTGTTTCTGGTAGAAGCCAGTATCATTGCCTGGCCAATATCCTCAGCCTAAAGCAGAGCCTGAGGTCTAGAGGATTAAGTGGCAGCATCAATCATGGAGGACAGAGCCTGGGCTTCTTTTCTGCAAGGTCAGTCACAAACCTGGAAACCTCTTAGG